TAGTTCGCTAATGTATACTAATACTATAAAGAGACAGAGTTTGTTTGTTTAAACGCTCTAATCTCAGGACTACTAATCTGATTTGAAAAATTCTTTTTGCATTAGCCGGTTTATTGAGGAAGGCTGTAGCATAGGCTACAGCCTTCCTCAATAAACCGGCTATCATATAATGATGAGAAATGGGTGAGTCACTAGTAATATCATATAATATAATGATGAGGAATATCATGATGAGGGATGAGTAATATAATGATGAGGAATAATATAATATATGATGAGGAATATCATATAATGATGAGGAATGGGTGAGTCACTAGAAATGTAATATACCTACATAATATATTTATGTATGTTATAACTTCTTTATTAAAACCATATATTTATAATAAAACAAATTGCATTAATAACTAATAATGAATTCTCTACAACTTTGCTACTCTATCTACAACCTACATATAATACCAAGTGCCAAGGTTATGCCCCTTATTGTTTAAAATTGTACAGCGGCTCGTTTAAATCATTCGATATGCACCAACCATGTTAGCATATTGTACACAGAAGAAGTAAAATACTTATATACATTAGAGTTTTATAAAATAGGTAGATATTTTTAAACTAAGACACGTAAACATAAGTTTTACTTAATTAAAATTGAAAAATTAGCCATTTTTGAATATTCAGTACATATTATACATGCACATAATACATAAGTCATTATATTTTCATATATTAGACATTTGTACATATACATAAGATTGAAATGTTTGAAATTCTCGTTTAACAGCTGAAATCCAAACGTATTATTCTAAAATATCATACGAAAATATGCCTTACGTGCTACAACCAGCAGACGGTGTGTTAGGTGGTAGATTTTATTTCTCTGTGAGCTACGTTTAAAGTTATTTAAAAAGTGCTGATTAATATCATACATATTAACTTCAAAACTACTTTATATAAACTTTATAAATCTTAACCTTCACAATTACACAAAAAAAATATTTTTAAAGAACTCAAAAGAAGAGACGTGGACACTAATGGTGCGATTGGTCCACTGGTCTAAGGTCACTCAGCGTGCTATGGAGAGGGCTATGCTCCGAGTTTCTCTGAAGGATCGGATCCGAGATGAAGAAATCTGACAGAGAACCAAAGTTATCGACATAGCCCAAAGAATTAGCAAGCTGAAGTGGCAGTGGGCTGCTCACATTTGCCGCAGAACCGATAACCGATGGAGTAGACGGGTTCTAGAGTGGAGACCACGGCTCGGCAAACCGCCCTCCAGCTAGGTGGAGCGACGATATACGTAAACTGACTGGCAGCGGTTGGATGCGTAGAGCTTGAAGATCGAGTTCAGCGGCGTGCCATAGGAGAGGTCTATGTCTAGCAGTGGACGAAAGCAGGCTGAATATGATGATGATGATGATGAAAGAATTCAAATATCAATTTTAAGACAACATAAGTAGCGTTACTGTAAATGTTATTTTATAAGACTTGCAATAATGTATTAAATGTGTTCAAAATATAAGTCAAATTATTATTTAAGGCTACAGACGACGGATCTTACGAGTTAAAATAAATCATTTGCGTATAAACAAAATCCTTACGGTGTGGAAACCTCTCAATAAAGCGCAGCTGTTTTATCAAAATGCTTGTTAATGCAGACCAAAAATACCAACGAAATAGTGCTTATTACAGCTATAAAGTTCATATGTCGTTTTGATAATAATTTCGGAATCAATAAATTTTGCGAATAATAAAGCAGGATCTTACGTAAATATTTTTAGTGACACATTTTTCGTAGGTAGCTACATACTTATTCCCTTTGGCTTTCAACACGACATACTTAAAAATAAAATTATTTTTGAAGTACTAAAATAATTTTTTTATTTATTAATTCTCACGTGAATCACGCTTAGAAATAACAATTAAGTACACAGACATCGTGATAACGTGAGTGTTAAATACCGTGTCATAAGTTGATTAAGCTTTTCTTTATACTATGTATAGGTACTACATGTACATAATTTGATTCTCTTGTATGATATTATAATTGTACCTACAGTATTTTTTTAAATAATCTTATTTTTTTTATTTTCATATAGAATATACATATATAGGCTTTAATGAAATGAAATTTATCTTAAAATATTTTTGATTTGAATTTTTTGGTACTAAATTCAAAAACGATCATTATTTTACATTTTCAGTTCTTTATTCAATTATCAAAAATAAATAAAAAGGTTTTATATATTATGTAATGTGGCATTAAATATTCTTTAATTTAGTCTTTATTTCATAAAGCTAGGTTCTTTTGAAGATATTGAAGATTTTCTAACCGACCCTTTTTCTCTGCGGTCCAGCGTACTAACTTTCCATTTATAAATATTTATATTTATGATTCTGTTATTGCTTAGTACTAGATTTTTTTTGCTTTTATATAATGATTAACACCTCCAGGTAAATTTCTAAGAAATTAATTAAATTTCTAAGAAATCTATTGTTTACTGTAACGCCGGCGTGGAGGGATTAGCATACGTATTAATTTTTAATAATTAATGTTATTGCAGTGATCTATAAAAATAGTAGTGTAGAATATATATATGAAACTGTGACATCAATTTAATGAGGTTGCAGTCATTGCCAATAAGCGCAAATATCACGCTCGAGGATACTTAAGAAAGTGCTCTAATCGTGCGTCCGGTTACATAAAACGGGGGCATTTTATTGTAACTTACCTGTTTTTAGTTTTATCATATATTTAAGGCCGAGTTGAAATATAGATCAATGTCTTAATTGAAAATTCAACAGAACAAAAACTTGCTCTTCTATTATTTATGATTGAAGTGAGTTGATAATAATTCTGAACGTCACATAAAAGATGTATGTATTTAGTTGCTTACCCTGACTGATTTGTCAATGTTGATGTAGCTTACACCAAGGGATCAAAATTTTGTTAATAAGCTTATAATGACATTGATATTCGACTCCTGTTATCCTCATTTCGCCTGGAAAATCATCCGCATGGAAAAGTTTGTATGAAATGCAGTATTTTAGCACTAGCCAAATGGCTTAAACAGAAACCTAGTAATTTCGCCATATCCGTCAATCCGTCTGTTATTTATATTTACATTGCTTGAATTTAATAGGTGGGTCTCATGTGAATCGCGAGAAACTCTGTAGATACTTAGTCAAATTACAGGAAAAAAATATGGGTGGGTAATTTTTTGTTGTAAAGTTATTTGATTCTAAAAGACATTGTTTGAGTCAAGGTGCAAGCAATTCCAATAATTACAAAAGTGGCAAATCTCTCTTTCCATTATCTACTTAAAAAATAAATTTTACTCGGTTGTTTGTTTTCTTTTTCCCCCGACTACAGCGAAGCCCAAAGGAGGGTTATGTGTTTGATCTGTATGTATTTTAATGTATGTATGTCCGATCCTATATTTCCTCGGAATTACTAAAAGACTTAACCGATTTTCATACGTCATTCGATTGGTCTTGATAAATTGTGTATCATAGGCTATATAGATATCATAAAAATCAAAATGGCGGATCCTAGATGCCAATTTGTTTCTTGAAAAAAAAAATTCATCCGATTAAACTGAGCGGGGTATCCAAATACATGTTATTAAGAGGCAATTACAAAAATATATACAACTTTAAAGTAATTTACGGCAAGAAATTGTTAAATAAAACTAATGTGTAACTAACCTAAACTAATAAGCTGTAAATATAAAAAATATATACAAAAAGCAAAAACACGACTGCGTAAAAAGCGAACTAAAAAGATGAGAGCAAGTTGACAAAGAAACATAGTATTATGCAGTCGGAGACATATGTACATAAGTATTTTTTTATAGGTAATAGCTGCGTGTGTGTAATATCTCTCCGACTTATCTTTGTTGTTCCCTTTTTATATAGATTTTTTCCACAATTCGTTTTAATATTATATAAAACTAACTAACTCTTAAATTCTATGTTCAAATGAACTTTATGGATGAATTAAAAATTAAAGAGAGATAGATATTTTTCTTGTCCACAGCAATTAATTAGAGGTGTTTTACTGCTACCGACAATACGTCACTAAATCATATACCTATACATATCTATAATAAAATTGTAACTAAGCCGTATTTCTACATTAAATATGTTTTGGAAAATCTTATTCAAACATTATTATCGATACAGAGGTTTTTAGAATTTTTGTCTGTCTGTTACCGCATCACAGAAAAACCACTGAAGGGATTTTGATGAAATTTGGTATGGTGATAGCTGCTTATCCGGGTCAATATATAGAATACTTTTTACGGCGGGAAAATATCTCATTTCTGAGAAAAAATGCAAAAACTGCATTGTAAGAGTATACTAATATGTAAAACCTAAGAATTTGGTTTTTGGTCATCTGAACGCGGGCGGAGCCGGGGTTAATGCTAGTAACCTAATATAAAAACAGTACCTGATCAAAAATGTTTTTTCTTATATATATAAAAAATATACAACTATTGCTATATTTAAAGCACATAACATAAATTAAAATTTAATAAAAATAAAAAATGTAAAGTTTGGTAAGAAGTAATATAATATGTAAAATCGTCGCATACACAAACTTGAAAGTATGCTTAAATAATTTTGTAGCAGTTATAAATTCATAACCCAAAAATTGTAGATGTCACAGACTGTCCTTTGAACTTTAAAGTAATCGAGTGAATGTAATATAACGACTGTTGACCGCTGCCCTAATTTTTATAACTTTCCACTTAAGAATTATATCTTAACTAAATCAGTTGAGAAAAAAAATATAAAGTAAACAATAATTTGTTAAAAAAACGTATTTAACTAATATTAGAGCTTCCACAGGGGCTTTCGATAGCTCCTAGGGCTAACTCAGGGTCACTTGACGTCACCGCAATTCTGAGTGAAAGGGTGAGCCCCCGCTAACGGTATAAAAGCTCTATGCACTCCCTATCTGCTATCATACCACATCCTCACATCAAACCAACACAATGGCATTCAAGGTACAATAAATAAATGATTTTTACATAACGGTGAGGTAAAGTTACAATTGCAGTATCTTATAATTGTTTTTAATTTCCAGTTCGTTGTCCTCGCCTGTTTCGTGGCTGCTGCTAGTGCTGGTCTCTTACCAGCTGCTCCCATCACTTATGCTGCAGGTCCAGCTTACCACACTGGTCCCGTGGCTTACGCGGCGCCTATAGCCAAATACGCGGCTGTCGCGCCCGTCGCTAAGGTGGCCGTGGAGGAATACGACCCTCACCCTCAATACAGCTTTGCCTACGATGTGCAAGACGGTCTAACTGGTGATTCCAAGAGCCAGCACGAATCTCGCGATGGTGACGTTGTTCAGGGCTCCTACTCCGTAGTTGACCCCGATGGCGTCAAGCGTACCGTTGAATACACCGCTGACCCCCACAACGGTTTCAACGCTGTTGTACACAGAGAACCCTTGGCTGTCAAGGCTGTTGCCCCCGTTGTGGCTAAAGTAGCTCCCGTAGTGCACTCTGCCCCCGTCGCCTACTCCACTGGTCACCTAGTTCACGCCGCTCCCCTGGCCTACTCCGCCTCTCCCGTAGTCCACGCTGCCCCCGTTGCCAAACTCGCCTACTCATCTCCGTACTACCACCACTGAGTACCAAAAATAAATTAAGTCATCCAATGTTGTGACTACTAGTGACGTTTTAGAAGATTTTCACAACTCATTAGGATAAGTAAATTAAATTGTTTTTTTACCGCTATTTCTTTTGTTTTATTCCTGCTGGCATATCTAACTACATACCTATTACTTATTTGTTATCTGTACTAACAGATCTGTTCGGTAATAGCACACTTTAAGTATAATTTTTTTACCATCTTTCATAACAGCTCTTCTCCATACCAGGCATTTTCTGTAAGTTCGCCCATGTGTTTCTATTTATTACAGAACCTAAAGATAAAAAAAGTTTATGATAGATAGGGAACTTAATCTACGAGTATATCTTTAGGTTAAGAAAGAGAGAAAAAAAAATTGTTCATTTCCTACAATATTTTTTAAACATAATATTTTGACCGACTAAAAAAGATAACATAATAATTTTCACCGCGTATTCCTATTTCCAAAATAAGATTTTAATTTTTAGTGTACAATTTTCGATGTACCTAACTATTTTATTGTGTGTCACAAATATCACTCAACTTCTTAATTTCTATTATAAGCAGACTAGATAGCTATAATACTTTTAAACTATACAATAAATAAATACATATAACCAAATGACATATTTTAAAGGGCAAATTATATGTCTATGATTATTTTATAATAAAGATTAATATTTTATTTTTCAAATGGGCAACTAAACTTGGCAAAAAAAACTTTTTCAATTTTTTTTCACACGTTTAAATTACATAGACATATTTTCTAAGCTAATCCGTTAATTGTCTGAATATATGTAAATAGGATAACAATTGATATTTTTTTATTTTTATTACTCCTTTAAAAGTACTTATATCAAAGTTAAGTAAAGTTTGATATAAATCACACAATTATCCATTTCACTAGTCACATATGTAGGTGGTTGACATCACAACCTTGGTATTTGAATCGTTCCCACGACTCGGACTGGGACACCAATGTTTGCACAACTTCATTATTTCAAACAAATTTTTGTTTAATTTTACTACGATTATTTTAGTTGGATATTTTTCTTAAGGTAAAGAAAGTTAGAATATAAAAATAGAAACATTAAAAAATCCAACTTCCTACACTAAAAAAATGAAAACTTCAAAAAAACTATTTGTAGACACTAAAAAGTAAAAAAATAACTGAAAAGGGAGGTTTTCATTAACTATGTAGGTGTACCTATTGGATCAAGATCCGGCTGCAATAGTACTAAGTTCATGGAGTATTTAATCATACAAAGAAAAAAAAAATACTTTCTTAGATTTACGCGAATATTTGACATTTTTAATAAAACTTAGCTTTAATTTGATATATGAATGATGAATATACGCCAAGAACATGAAAATGTTACAAAAAAAATCTTTAATAACTGGCAAGCCCTATTTGCGGTCACTTTTACATATGCAGAGGCAGTTTATCAGGTTATGAAAAAAATAGCTTTAATTTGATATATAAAAAATGTATATACGCCATGAAAGTATAAATGTAACAAAACATTACCTGCTTATACCTGGCTGCAAAGAGGTTGCGGCCAAGTGCGCAACGGCAGCTATCACTTTTCAAGTTCTCTACGTATGTTTCTGTAAAGTGGACTATAATTTATTTTAATATCAAGTGCATCGATTTTGTTCCAAAAAGTCAATTATTATTAATTTAATAAAAAATGCTAGCGGGCACATCTTAATAAGCAACCCGGCCAAAACATATTGTTCCTCTTATTGTTGTATATAAAAAAATGATTTTGATTAAATACTCGATGAACGTAGCAATCTTGCAGCCGGATCTTAAACCATATTCAGATATTTTCAAAGTCGATGCAAAGCAAAGCAAATCTATCTTGGTATGTATAAATTCATCAAATGGATGTATAAATAATATTTTAACTATATTCAAAGTTCATACCTAGATAAATTGTACATACACAGACAAACACAAAATGTTTAATAACGATTGTTTCGGGGTCTATTATTCTGTACACAAAAGTATGTTACAGACATTGTTTTAATAAATATATTTTATGTATAGATCTCACTATTTTATTATACACAGGTATAGACATATGGATTACAATTTTTACAATAATTGACAATTATAACACAAAGTAACAAACGATTTTTTATTCGATTGATCGATGTGTCGGGTTTTGGGACCCTAGATTTTCATAATCTATACTAATATTATAAAGAGGTAAAGTTTGTGAGTTTGGAAGATTGTGAGTTTGTGACGTTGTAGGGGGTAATCTCTGGATCTACTGAACCGATTTAGATGAAATTTGGTAAGACAGTTTGAGACCCAAGGACACACCAAGGATATTTTTTTATCCCGAAAATCATTCCATAAGTGAGTGAAAATGGTGATGAAAGTTTGTATTGACAAGCAAGCCAGGGACGAACCCGAGCGAAGCGAGGGTGATTTGCTAGTGTATATTTATAAAAATCATGTAAAATTTGGGTTAATCAACGAAAAAAAAAATCAAATATAATAAATCAAGTATTTAAAATAAGAGTAGTTCGTATTTTTTTTTCCAGACTATTCGCCCGATCTACGGGTCTACGGGAAACTTTTCCGTAGCTGACCTGTGGATCGATTGAATTTACTTCAAGCTTTCAGATCCACGGGATTTGCTGTACTTCTCAGAATTTTTACATTTACCTATAGAGATAGGTTCATAATAACTAATTATGTGATGTTTCTTTTTATTTTTTGGGTGTCAATTTCATTCAGGAATCAATAGGCAAAAGTTTTAATAAAAGTAACTTGTCCATTAATGAGTCACTATTAAGTTTTAACGGTTTCGAACCTAGTCCCGAGAAACCGTACGTACAAAATAAATTTATTCAAACGAAAAAAAATCACAGAAGAAATGGCAAGAAAATCCCTGAAAAGACCCATACAATCTGTTTCTACATCAGTGGAAAATAAATGAGAAGCTTCCCGTAGACTCGTAGACAGGGCGAATAGCTGCGCCCTATTTTAACCGTCTTCCAAAAAGGAGGAGGTTCTCAATTCGTCGGATTTTTTTTATGTATGTTCACCGATTGCTCGAAGACGCCTGAACCGATTTGGAAATATATTTTTTTCAAAGGGTATACTTCCCAGGTGGTCCCATATAAATTTTATCGAAATCGGTCGGGCGCTTTTTAAAAAAATCAACAATAAATGTTTTTTTTTAATAAATTTGTTATTAAAAAACTTTCTTCTTACAAATTACCTGCTTATTACGTCTACACTAAAAATGAAAAAATAAAAACTTAAAAAAATAATAACTGACTTCCAGGCACTAAAATGTAAAAAATAACTAAACGAAGGTTTTCATTTAGAGTAGATACCTAATCAGATATTTTCAAAGTCGGTGCCAGCCGATGCAAAGCAAATCTAATATATTTCGATACCTATAATACCTATTAGATATTCATATCTTAAAATATTGTAGGCTGGCACCGACTTCGAAAATATTTGATTAGGTATCTATTCTAAATGAAAATCTACGTTTAGTTATTTTTTACATTTTAGTGCCTGTAAGTCGGTTTTATTTTTAAGTTTTTATTTAACTTTATCACTAATGCTATACCTAAGCAAACATTAGTGTACTTGGTACTTACTATAGTGCATTAGTGGTGAATGGTGATAATATTGTGGATTTAGAGTTTCAAAGTCCATTTTAATACTTATTTTATTGCCAAGGTATCCAAGTGGAAAGTACAGTTAGATACCTACTTACCACCTACGTACCTTTGTTTTTTTTTGGAAGATTAACACACTCATTTTATATTTTAAATAAAACTATCTTTTCGGATGTTTTCGCGGATTTATTTAGATTTTTGTCTCCCGACGTTTCGAATGCTTTACAGCAATCATGGTCACGGGAGAGACCACAGAACACTTTTACTCGGGAGGGAAAGACTAAGGTGTTAGATGTCTTAAAGGTATCATACAGTTGTTACAGACAGCCTACCCACAAATAACAAAATGAATTCAAAAAATTGAAAAATGGCACCAAAATACCTTACAATATTGTTTAATTTTAAACATTGTTTAATTTTAATTTTATTTAATTTTTTTAATATATTTTTTATTTTATAATTTTAATTGGTTTTATATGAAAATTACCTACTCCAATAAACAACAGGTGAGATTTTAAGTATTTTTAAGGCGAAACATTTTTTCTTAAATGAGGAGTTGTTAAGTTGATTATCAATAAGAAGACTGATTATAATAACTTTTTCTTTATTTTTCCTTCTAAACATGATCCTTGTAAGGAAGTTTCATTTTCGGCCGAAACTGAGACCGTTGACGAAATTCGGTTTTGGTTTCGGCCGTAAAAACCAGTTTTGGTAGGACACTATTAATTTTATGATAATTATAGAAAATGAACAATTATGTTTATGCACAAAAACTTACTGAGTACATAATATTATGTCATTCCAAGAAATCATTTTAATGTTACCTGAATATTATTTCTGAACGTCAATCGGATATTATCTGTACTTTTCAAGGCTTGAGCGATTTGTTTACGCGAGGTTTGTATACATTAGAGGCGATTTTTTTTCTTAATTTTATTCATAAATTAAACAATATAGTGACACATATAAGTAGTAATATTTTAGTTTAAGGAGTTCTTCAACGCCTTATATGGTCATTCTGACAACAATCATTTAATAAACGGGGTGTGTCTTATGAAGAATTGCTTGTTCGTTTTTCGTGTTTTTGGGTTCAAAGTCATGTTGCCGGTTCTGTGATATATGTTGTGCTAATTGTTATCGCTATAGTACCATATTTGAGGATTTAACTCTAGTGATGGTATCAACGAGAGGTGTTCGATATAAATTCACTGAAGGTGAACGTGTTTTATGTTACGAACCCGATCCAACAAAAGCCAAAGTTTTGTATGATTCTAAGGTTTGTAAAACTTTAAAGTTTTATGTTTGTTTTATATATCTAATGTAATAGTGTTATTAAAATGAATCAAATAAATAATATTTTTAACGAAATTTCTATTCCCTTCTTTGTTTTGCAGTGTGTAAAATTATTTTTTGAAGTATCTATTGTATAATTTATTACAATAACAATTGATTTTATCATCCTCTCATATTCTAGGTCTTGGAAGTAATAGAAAGTAAAGACAAACGTGGTCGCCGTACAGTGGAGTACTTAATTCACTTCCAAGGATGGAATTCCTCTTGGGACCGTTGTGTAAGTGAAGATTTTGTTCTGAAAGACACAGAGGAAAATCGACAGCTACAAAGGGATCTTGCTGAAAAATCACAGCTTCAATTGTAATAACATTTAATTTTCATATTATTTAAATTATAATTTTAAGATTGGCATTATTTAATATAATTTGTATTTTAGAGGAGCATATTTATACAGAAGAGAACGCAAAAAAGGTAATAGTACAAATTCAGGCTCAGGTCCAGCAAAGCGACCAAGACATGGATTTAGTGATGATGGTTCTTCTACAAGTACCCAACCTGATGGTGACGGTTAGTTAATTTTTAACCTAAATACTTAAATTAAATCCATGATAACATGTATTTAAAAATGTTATATATATAGTTTGCCTTGATTTATTAACAATACTGTATAACCACATTTTGTTATGTAATGTTTTTAGAAGGTGAAACAGGGGATACAGATTCATCATCAGGCTCAGGTTCGAGTAACCAACCTAACTCTCCACCCAATTCACACAATGGTAGAGCGAGTATAGTATTACCATCTGCTCTGAGGTAAATAATTTGAAATATTATTTTATTTAAAGTAGACTAATACTGAAAATATATTATCATTAAATAAATAATAGAATGTTTTATCACAAAAAAATGTGGTAAAGATGTGCCTTCACCATTTTTTGTGTTCCATCCTTGTCAAGGGGAGTGCTAACCGTCTCTCCTTTCAATAGACACATTGGTAACTTTCAAACTTTTGCTTATATACTTAGACACTGTGAAAATTTTAATAGCGTGATTCAGGACTTATATTTTAATAAGTTTAACACATTATAAAACTTATATTTTACTATTATAAAACTTAGACGTAAAATATTAATACTGAAAATTATTGAAATTTAATGCATATTCACTGTTATTTTAAAAAATTAACGTTATTTACGGTTTTAATATCAATTTTTCTGATCAACGCCATCTATGAAAATCACGGTAAACTATGAAGTTAAAATAAGATGGCGCTGTAATTAAAAATATGTTAGTCTTTTCTATACATAATAAAATAAAATTGTAACTAAGCGAATCTGTACATTATTTTTTTTTTTGGAAAATCTTATTGAAATAAACATTATTATCGATACAGAGGCCGAATCTACAGTTTTTAGAATTTTTGTCTGTCCATTACCGCATCGCAGAAAAACCACTGGAGGGATTTTGATGAAATTTGGTATGGTGATGGCTGGTTATTCGGGTCAACATATAGGATACTTTTTACCGCGGGAAAATGTCACATTTCTGGAAAAAAATACTGAAACTGCAATGTAAGAGTATACTAATATGTAAAACCTAAGAATTTGGTTTTTAGTCATCTAAACGCGGGCGGAGCCGTGGGAAATGCTAGTATTCTTATATAATATGACATTTTAAATGAAACTTTAAATAGTTTTCATTTTTAAAACGCGACAAAATAAAAAAAATCATAAGAGTTTAAAAGAAGAGTAAGTAGTAAGAGATTTAAAAGAAGAGTTTCATTCAAATTTAAGTTTTCCCCAATAGTATTAAAAGCATTCAACGACCAACTTGCAGAGACCGGCTAACGTTCGACTACCACCTGGTGGTGAAGCGCGGGCGGCTGTCGCGGCTGCCGGCGGTGCCGAGCGCGGCGCAGATCCTCGAGTCGTTCGTGAAGTGGTTCGCGCGCGCCGGCGCCTGGAACCCGCCGCGCGCGCGCCACGACCCCCACCACCGCCCCGACATGCTGGATGTTTCTTGCAGGTATGTAGCTCTCAGCGCTGCCAATTGGCGGGTAAATTACCCGAAAAGCGGGTAATTTTCGGCCATTTTTGATGGTGGGTAATTTTAACGAGTATTTACATTGAGCGGCGTCAAAGCAGGTATTTTAGTTAGTTCCTACACTTCGTGCGTAAATGCATTTCCCAACGTTAAAAAAAAAGGTATTAGTTTAGCTGATTAATTTGGTATTTTAAGTTTTTTTTATGTTTGATTTTATAATTTAAAGCTGTTTAATTGAGAACTGATTACAATGACTTCTTTTTTAACATTAGTTCTTTCTTTTATTCTATATAAAACATTAATAAATTACTTATTCCAGGATAAAAAGTAGCCTATTTGTTATTCTGATGTATGATCTATATTATTGTACAGTTTCATTAAAATCTAATCAGTAATTTCTGTGTACTAAGCTGTATAAGTTACTATAGTTTTTTTTTAATATCCCACGGGAAATCTTTAATTTTCCGTGATGAAAAATGTTGACCAATGATATAAGGTACCACCATGCGAAATTTCATTTAAATCGGTCCAACAGTTTCGGAGATTAGCCCGTACAGACAGACAAAAAAACAAAAAATTGAAAAAATCTGGATTTGTTCTATTTCTCTTCTTTCATCCTCCTGAGTCGATTTTTAGCATTTTTTTTCTATGTACAGACATTCGACCTCTACAATTTTATTATAATATGTATAAAAGAAATGAATTTCGATATGAATTCGCAAAGTCTGCTTGGACGTTGACTAGTATCTGGGTGAGATAGTAGTAAATATTAAAAAAAATTATAAACTTTATCTCATAAATGTCATTTATTTCATGGATAACGTAAAAAGTAAAGGAAATGATGTCTTTGTTGTTATTTAAACTTGATTTATATTTTATAGTTAATACTAGCCATAAAAAGTAAATAAATTGCAGACTACGTTGCATATAACATGCGTTTTGGCACAATTAAATAAATATATGGGGTCGGATATATATCTTTATTCTGCAAACGCGCGACTTGCAATCTCAATGCAATGACACATTTACATCTGCATCACACATGCTCAGAATATAGAAAACTATCAAAAATATTTTGTATATAGCTAAAGTAAATAAATTAAGTTCTCACATCTAACACTTTAAATTAATATTGAGATGCAATAGATTTACTAAATATGTACGTTTTTTTTAATAATACTTTCTTAGATTTACGCGAATATTTGACATCTATACTAATACTATTCTATACTATAATATTATAAAGAGATAAAGTTTGTGAGTTTGTGACGTTGTAGGGGATAATCTCTGGATCTACTGAACCGATTTAGATCAAATTTGGTAAGAAGATAGTTTGAGACCCTGGGAAGGACATAGGATACTTTTTATCCCGAAAATCATCCCTTAAGGTGGTGAAAATGGGGATGAAAGTTTGTATTGGAAAGCAAGGTTAGGACGAACCCGAGCTAAGCGAGGGTGAGTCGCTGGTTTTATATAAAACTGTTTTTGAATTTTTTTCGCGAATTTATTGTGATTTTTGGTTCCCGAATAGGCGAAGGTTTTGACGACACAAAGGCATTATGTTGTAGTAGGCTGCTGTAACAGCTATATATAACTATATATACAGTCTATTTAAATAAAAAAATGTGTTTATTGGGTTCCGTAAAACCAACGAGCAACTGGAATCACTGTAAAATTACTCACTACGTGCACATATCAATCAATAAAAGATAAGTACTATGAAAACTTTACAAATATGAAATACATATTTGCGAAATATCACAGATCATATAATACTATACTGAAATATAAAGAAAATCTAAGGCAAACAACTTGTCACCAAAATGCACATACATATTATTAAATAAACTTTATTTGTAATATTAAGTTAGTTAAAAGAGAGTTATTTTATTCGAGTACAATATATATAGTACATATGTATATTACACGATAATTCCATCTTTATTGTGTTGAAATTTCGATACGCGTGACTCCAACCATTAAAATTTCATACTTTTGAGTATTAATAAGTGGTAATTATTTTCAACTAGACAATTTTCTCATAATATTTTTTCTTTTTCTTTCAGATTAAATTTACTAAGGGAAGTGGCAGATGGCTTAAGGGTGTACTTTGACTTTATATTAAGAGGACACTTGTTGTACAAACAAGAACTTGACCAATACTACGAGATATGTGGACAATATATTGACGAGTAAGTATTATTGACGTTATCTTATTTGCATTATTTGTAACTCACACAATTTTATAAATGTAGATTATAATGTGTATATGTATAAAATAAAACAAAAAGTTACACAAACATTATTCTTTATGATATTCTCCAACACTAACTAAAAACTTTTACAACTTAAAGCAGTTCGATTGTTTCCAGACCGGAAATAAAAACAGAGCCCGAAGACGAAGAGGATGAAAACCAAGACGTGTCCCAGGACGAGGCCACGGCGTCACTCGAGGAGGACATGAAGAGTCCCAAGATACCGGAGTACTCGCACCTGCCGCCCGACCCCAACCCCGACCCCCACCCCGACGCCCGCCCCGACCCCCGCCCCGACCCCCGCCCCGACCCCCAGCCGGACCCCCAATCGGACCCCCGCTCCAACCCCCGACCCGATCCCCGACCCGAGCCGCATCCCGAGCTGCACTCCGGAGAGAATGGAGAAGGTAATATTCAATTAAGTAAATTCGCTTATACTCCATCCACCATTATAAAAAAAATAAGGCCGTCACGGAACGCTTGGCAGATATGAAACATCATGTTTTGTATAGAAAATATCCATGACGGGATGGTTTTTAATGGCAGTAAATATGGCACAATTAAAAACAAAATATTCAGATTTTTTAAAGGGAAAAAAAACTTCATTTTAAAAATATATATTAATTTAATATGAACATTAAAAATTGAAATATGAGCTCAGAATGGGGAGATAGTCTGAGAATTACGAGCGGCAATTTGACCCGCCGCATTAGATGTTTCACATCAAAACATATTCCAAACATGGAATAACTCTTTATGACATACCCTTTTAGTAAAACAATTATATTATTCCATATAACATGGAATCGCTTAGATGAATTTCAGTTGAACTCATTATTTAATTTACAGTTTTAATTTCAATTGACGACTGTTTGAATTTGTTGATTAAAATTTTGTCAAATAAAAATAATCCCCTATTTCATTATATGTATGTAAGTTTTAAAGGCAGTGGTAAGGCGCTCGCTTGGGAAAACCTAGCAAGTTTTCAAAGGACATACTCAGTCCGCCAACCCTCCATCACATCCCCCTTATGATAAAGGGGCCTCCCTTTACGTTAAATAGTGCCCAGCAGTGGGACTTTCAAAAAGGGCTGAGAGAGAAATGTTAATTTTGCAAATTTTTCTATACAATGAAATTTCAATTGACAGAAAACCATGACCACAACGAGATGGAAAACGATACAGTCGAAAACGACGCGGAAAGAGATGGCGAAATTGAGCCCAAAGTAGAAGTGGAGTCGGAGGCAGAGGCGGAAGTGGAGATGGAGGAGGAAATGGAGAAGAAAGTGGATAATGGCACCAGAGCCAGGACTTCCCCGAGGCTCGACCGCGAGGCGCGCGCCGCACTGCGACATCATAATCTTGCTAGAAGGTTCGTATTAACTCTTCACTGAGTTCAAAACAGAATGTATTCAACTGTGTTGTATGTGGTAGGTACTCAATGTCTTCGCCAATTATGATTCTATAATAGCAATAATAATTAGTCTTTACTAATATTATAAATGTGAAATTTTATGAGTATGTATGTTTGTTACTCTTTCACGCCAGAACGGCTGAACGGATCTGGATGAAATTTGGCACAGAGATAGATTATAGTCTGGAATAACACATAATATGCTACTTTTTATCGGGGGAAAATGTACGGTTACCGTGGGATAGGTTTGTTTTTGTCTTTCTAGTTTTTAATAAAACTGTTACTCTTCTGTTCGGACTAGTGGATTTTAAAGTGTTATTCAACCTTTTAGGTACAACATATATCTCAATGAGACTACTTGATGTACCGGAAACAAAAGGTCCTCTACTTTTACACTTGCATTAAATAATTTAATTTTTATTTTAATATTAATTCTACTTAACTTACAATTTTAATGGTTTTTATTTAAATCATTATTAATGTACAGGCTCCGTTCACACAAATCAGCTGTGTCACAATCAGAAAACGAGGAACCAGCGCCGTCTACATCCACGGGGGAACAACGGACTTTCGAAACTCTATCGTCCAGGTTGGTCAACAATATTTTGTATTGTTTTTTTTAACTCTATCCCGACTATCATACATATTTTTATATGACAGTCGGGAGACGGCGTTAGGGTTGACGAGTATATCCGTAACATGCCATGAGATAATCTTACAGTGCTACTGCAATCAACTTTGATACCGTTCGCCATAAAAATTGGTATTATTTGAACTAAAATGGAAAAAGAAAAACTTAAAAAAAAATGGTGTTTTCATTTAAAATAGATACCTAATCAGATATTTTCGAAGTCGGTGTGCTTTGATTTATATCGGCTGGCACCAACTTCGAAAATATCTGATTAGATATCTATTCTAAATGAAAACCTCCGTTTAGTTATTTTTTACATTTTAGTGCCTGAAAGTCAGTTTTTATTTTTTTGAAAAAAGTTTTTATAATATTAGTATAGAAAGATTGACGTATTATATATATAAAAAAACCATCTTATAGAAATATCACTCAATAGGTCAATACGACGCGGTCGCGGTTCCATACCTACGTGTATTTCGTATTATCTCTTTAACCATTTGTCCAAATTATATGCAGTAAAAGGGAAAAGTTTTTTGTTTTAAACATTTTAGACGATAAATTTACTTATTTTGATAAGAATTCATAGCTGTTGATAATATGACCAATAAACATGACCTACCGATTAAAATTATTTTTTAATGTAAAAAACTACTTTTTGTGACTTAAATATAAAAGTTTGACATATGCTGTCGCTGACTTTTTTGTAGGCATTATTAAGCTCTACATCTTTTCTTTAGAACATAATCATATATCTCTCATCGTTAAGGCAGCGTTCGTAAGAAACGTTTTCGTTCACATTTTTTCTCCGACTTACTTTGCAAATCCGACTACCATTAAAGGTCTTTTCATTCTTTGGGTTAATATATAGACTATAACACTCAGAAAGAACGTGGCTTTTTATTGGTAAAAGAATTTTGAAAATCGGTTCAGTAGATCCAGAGATTACCCCCTACAACGTCACAAACTCACAATATCACAAATTTTACCTCTTTATAATATTAGTATAGATAGATAATTACATTACGGCTAAAAAATGTAGCTTGATGTTAGATAACCTTCATCAATATTATATGAGTACTTACATAATATAAAGATGAAAAGTTTGTTTGTCTGTACGTATAAATCTCTGTATTTATGGGTCCGTTTCAACATTTATTTCTCAATATCGATCAAACTTAATAAATTATGGTTGATTTTCAACCACGAGGCGATCACTAGTTATAATAAAACGGTTATTTAACACGTACTAAAGTTTACTTGCAGTGTCAGCGGTCGTGAGTTCAAATCCCGCTGGAAGCATTCATTTGTGTGATGAGCACGAATGTTTGTACTCCAGTCATGGGTGTTTATATTTATAATATGTATGTATTTAAAAGTTATATATGTGTAGTGTATCAACTACCTGGTATCCATAACACAGGCCTCGTAGTTTACCATGGAACTAGATGGCGCTGTGTGTTAATGTCCCAATATATTTCTTTATTTATTTACAACAGCGTGGGCAGCAGCGGCTCGTCCATGAGCGAGGGCTGGGCGCGCGCGCGCGCGCCGCCGCCCGCGCCGCCGCCGCGCAACCCGCTCTCGCAGCTACTCGACAAGGTATCGCACTGTTCAGGACATCCATACTAATATCATGGGGTCTCATCAGGAAAAAAGAAAAATTACCTACTTCAAATAAATGTCAATACATGACGTAACATGTGTCGATTTGTTATTAAGGTTATCTTGAATTAACAAAAGATAAAAATATATATCTCAAAAGGGTGTTTTATTGTATTAAAAAATATGTTAATTGAAATAATTCGCTCGTAAATCAAATTTGCATAATTTTACTGATCATTGAAATATGACCAATAAGATCATGTGTTTGTAGTGTATATTCACAGATGGCGCTTTTGCTTTTTATGAATTGTTTATCACGGTAAAAAATTGTTAAAATCACTAACATTTTTTGATGAATTTTTAAAAGGATGAATTTTACAAAACTTACCATACGTTAGTTTGCACATATTTATAAATAAAACAGTTTCACTATTTGCGAATTAACGATATCTATTATCTATTCAAGCAAGCAAAATTAGCCCGAATAAGCGTCCAAATTCTTTGTATGGGATGAGGCTTCTGTATAGTATTATGTGATCTATGCTTACATTATAAATGTGAAAGTGTGTTTGTTTGTCTTTCTTTTACGTCAAAATGGAGTGACGGATTGACGTGATTTTTTGTGTGGGGATAGTGACTGGAGTACCATCGAGTCATTTTCTTATCTGTGTACTAAAACTAAATTTCATCTAAACCCAGCTTGAAGGAATAACAAACATACACACATATACAAACTCGCCTATAAATAAAAAAACTGTTACTTATTAAATTCTTTAAAGTTAGGTTTCTAATGGGCTACACAAATACACAAATATTAAATCAAATTTTAAAATGAAATGTTGATCATTAAGCCTACATAATATTATTATATTATAATTTCTTTCAAAGGTGGCAAAATGGCAAATTATTCCTCGAGAAGATACAGAGCATCTACCTTGTAGAGTTTATGGGGCCATCCATCTCGCCAGACTTTTTGGTAAGATTATTTTTATAACTTTCCTTTATAATCTATCTAGCGAACTCTTAAAAAAATAATATTTGGTGTTTGTTACAGTAAAGCTACCTGATTTTTTAAACGCGACACAGATGCCAGATTTTAAATTAAAGTTAATCTTAAAACATATAGATATGTTTGTGCAGTGAGTATTAAAAAAAATCAAATTTATTGTAATATGTCAAAATACTCATATAATATTTAAAAAATCATATTTTAGGTATTTGGATGAACATACTGAGTGGTTTGGTGAAATGTACTATGTGACAGACGGAGTGTCGCGGTCACACTGAAGTTAAATAATTGTTAATAAAGCAACGAAATTACCGCAAAATTGTTGAACATTCAGAGAATTATAAAGGAGTATGTGGAGCTTTAAATAAAACCCGATAAATAGTGAAAATGGTCTATGGAATTTTTAATTTCTGTCGGTACCATTTTATGTGACGTGAATCGGCTATCATTAAGGAATTTTAAAAAATGTACAAAGAAACATCTTTAAGTAAAATTAAATACTAGCAAGACTTAAAATTTAATTCTGACTTATTGTTAGTGTTGCTAGAATCATCACATATTTGATAAAGATATGCTAATGAGAAATGCCTCAGTACCTCGTACATTTTTAACTCTAGATTCTTCTAATTAGGAACCAAAAGGTGTACCTGGAAAAGCAATAATAAATATATACTTTAGCCCGGTGTGGTGATTCAGTGCTCGTTAACTTACTTTGTACTAAAAATTAGATTTTTCTACTGGCAGTACTTGGATTTTTTCAGTTATCTATGGATCTCATTTGAAGCTCGCTTATTTTTGTAATAAAAGCAAAATAAAGAAATGTGATCACAATTGAGTTCCTTTTTCTTCTTTATATTTACTATCCCCATAGGGTCTTATCACTAAGAAAAATTAGTTCAAATAAGTGTCAATAGATGACGTTACATGTATCGATATATTATTAGTGATAAATTAATAAAAGCTAAACAAATAGATCCCAAAAAGGTGTATTATTGTTTTAAAAGATATTCAAATGTAAAATAAATTTGCGTAAATTTACTGGTTATTGAAATATCAGCAATCGGATGATGGGTTTGTAGTATATATACACGCTTTCACTTTTTATGAATTATCAGTTAAAAATTATTGTTAAAATCATAGATTTTTTTATTCGAATGCAGAATGAATTTTACAAAATTTACCATACATTAATTTGTTTATATTTATAAAATACTATTCGCAAATCAACATCTATTATCTATTCAAGCAAACAAAAATAGCCCGAGGAATAATAGCCTTAATTATCGCTGTCGAGTTACTGTATGGGATGCGGCATCTGTACTAGTATAGTATTAAATGACATGCTATCCCTCAATATTCTTAATGGCTTTTTATAATCACCATTTTTAACATTTCTTTTATTAGCGACTTTACAAAAAACAAGAATAAATTAAGAAAATAGAAGGGGATGCGGCAATTGAAATCCTAGTATTAATTAAAACAAAGTTTCAAAATTAAACTTTAATATTAGAAATTAGTTATCCCATGCTGAGGTTCCAAAAATTATGTCTATGAAACACAGGATTGTATGCGATGAAGAATTTACAATAATATTTCCTCATAAAGCACTGGTATCAGTGATTAACATATTAAATACTAAAAAGTTAAGAACTAAAATAAGTCTTGGTTTTAAACCATACATTTTATAACAATTTCACTTTGGATTCTTAACAAATTTGCCATTTTATTATTAGGAAATACAATACATTATAAAACATACATACATACATAAATTGAAAATTGAACATATCAGAAATGAAATATTAAGCAAAACAAATTTGAATGAAGAAAAAAATCCACACAATATGAAATAAAACTAGTTTGTACAATGTTGCATTCAATATTTATCAATTTACTGAAGTTTAATGTTTATAAGCTCGCACAAAACGCTAATATATTCTCAAATAATTATGTTTATAAATCCATTTTGGCAAAAGACATTACAAAATTAGTTTTACTTCAGAAAAAAATCAAAAACCTTAGCAGAAACAAAAACTAATATTTAAAAAAAGACATTGTTTTTAGCAACTTATAATACTCGTAATATGAATTTTGGATTTTATAAAAATTACACTTAGATTTATTATTAATACTAGCTTTAACCTGTGGCTCTGCTCACATAGAATTAAAACACTATTCTGAGACCGTCTTGATATTTCTAAATGTCGAGTGATAAAATTCATGACTATAAAATTCATATTGTTTGTTACATTAAATATTATAATCATTAATACAAAAAGATTAACAAATTGTTTTTATACAAATGATTTATCTAAGGTGTTATTCAACAATATAGCTACACAGAGTTTAAGATATAGCTAACATCGACTAAAATATTAAAGAATTTTGAATATTATTTCACTATGGCAGTAACAAACGGACAAACATGTTTCAATAGGGAATATGCGTGTGATTTAAATAAAGTTGAAATAATTCTTTTTATAATCTTTATTCCATTTGAATGAAGCCTATATGAATATTTTTTAATATAATTTCTTTTTGATTAAAAAAATAATTATTGAAAAGTGCCAATATAGGTGGGAAATTCAAAGTACTTGAAACGCAATGCCACTGGTCGGACCGAATGTGACGTCAAAGTATACAACAGAGCGCTGTCGTTTGATGTTTGCGATTGGTACTAACAGTCTAGACCTGTTCGTTCGTTGATTTTAATGTTTCATGGACTATGACATGAAGCCAAGCGCGCCAAAATGGTGGGCGTTTAAAATATCCGTATCTATACATATTTTGAATTTTTTTTACACTAAATTCTAGTGTTTTGGCTCTGGATATTTTTTTTAGTTACATAATGATGTAAGCTATTGTATAAAAAAACACGCATAGTTCCCCATTGTGTATTTAATTAACAATCTTGCTCCATTCTATGTATGACGCGCCGGTACTCGGACTCCAGGGAGAGGTAGTGTGCAGACAGACGCGCCTGCGTCTCGGGCAGCCCGCTGGAGGTGAGGGTGGCTGCATATTCTTCGGGCTTTAACACTTTCTGCAACTTCTTCATTTCCAGCTTCTTTTTCTGGAGAATGAGATAATATTTAATTTTTAATGATGTTGCTTAAAGCAAATGAGTTTTTTATATTAATAAATTCTATACAATCTATACAGATAAATCAAATTGAAGTCTCTGTTTGTAATGTCAAAATAACAGCTTATTACTAAATATATAAAATTATATATGGTACTCATAAGAAAAACACATTTTTTTTTATTTTCTTTTTCTATAATGTCTGTACCCAGAGACGGACCAGAGCGAAGCGAGGGCAAATCGCTAGTATTCGAGTAGTTTGTATACCTCTAAATAAATTTAATATTTTTTTGAAAAAATAGCATATTTTTGTACAATTATAGATATTAGTGTAGTGTCATCATTCTATAATTATTTTAGCATACTAGTAACAATATATTATCTATATTTTGAAGAAAGCAGAAAAACACAAATTTTATATTATTAAATTGTTTACTTTGTATTATTGAAATCTTATCGAGAAAAAAATCATCTCTAAGGATGGGACCTTTTAAACTCATTTAAAAGTTGGTTCACTATTTAAGTTAGAAAACCAACTTCAAAACAAACACTCAAAAGCAAAAAATAACTGATTGATGAACGAATTGAGAACCTCCTCCTTCTTGAAGAAATCAGTTGAAAAGTATTTGTATTGTAAAATAAATAGAATAGTATCTCACTTGGAATGGTGCATTGAGCCGATTCTTAACATCTAATCTATAATTTAAATAGCCAGCCTTGTCTGAAGTGTTTGTGCTCTTTAGACGCAGAATCTCGTACACGCGCCGCGCTTGCTTCTTGTTAATTTTAAACTTGGCGCGCGCTTGATTCGCCATTTCTGCAGTGAAACTGAAATTATAAAAATATTATATAGTAGTTAAACCTTGTTGAACATTTTTGCAAAGGCCTTTAAAAAGGATAAATAATGTTTTCAAACAAAAATTGCCAAAAGTTTCTGAAGTCGTAAACATTGTGTTAATCAGAGATTTTTTTTAGTATCATAGTAGTTTACTATAATATAAGATAGAACAGCTCTTGTTAGAAAACTAAAGTATTAATTAATCAAAAAAATGTCTTCTATTGACTCATAACAAAAAAATAAAAACCGACTTCAAACAAAAGCACTAAAAAGTAAAAAATAACTGATTGTTCGTTTTCATTTACTATACATACCTAATCAAATATTTTCGAAGTCGGTGTGCTTTGCTTTGTATGGGCTGGCACCGATTTCGAAAATATTTGATTAGGTATGTATTTAATAGGTAGGCTTTAATTACTTAGCCAAAGAACACCGACTTCGAAAATATTTGATTAGGTATGTATAGTAAATGAAAACGAACAATCAGTTATTTTTTACTTTTTAGTGCTTTTGTTTGAAATCGGTTTTTATTTTTTTGTTAAAAAGTAAGAAGTAGTAGTAGCGAAGTTTCTAACGTGTTAGGCTTGTCGAATCAAACAAAATAAGCCCAAACTCAAAGTATCTACTATTAGCCGTTGAACAGTTCCACCTATCCACCTTCTGGCTTTACCATCAGATCAGGTCAACAATACCAAAAATACCGAACCACTGTACTAACAACGGAAATAGAAACACTTGCAAAGTTTCAAGTCAATATGACAATTAGAAGTAGGTTAAATTCATAATTAGATATTTTTCCACCCTTAGGAGTGTTTTTTTTTTTGAAATTTAAATGGGACCAATCTGGAAGTATACACTTTCAAATAACACAAAAATTGTCCAAATCGGTTAATAAATGACGGAGTTGAGGTAACAAACATAAAAAAAAATACAGTCGAATTGAGAACCTCCTCCTTTTTGAAGTCGGTTGAAAAGATACGCTTCTATTATGACCAGCAAAATTTGAAGCTTAAAAAGCAAAAAAAAACGTGACAGGAATTTAGGTTCGTCAGAAGCCGACATAGATAAAAACTACAATTCAGCTTTATTTTCAGTGGAAAAGCTAGTTTTAGGCAGGCACTAATTAAGTCTTAATTACTACTAGATGAACCTTAAAATGTTTTTCTATTAGTTCATACATACCCCTGTGTTAATTTTTCAGGTTGAAACGCCGCTAGAGATTCACAATTTTTAGCATCAACATAATCTCGAATCCGTTGAAAATCTTGGGAAGGGTCCTCCACCGTTATATCAATAACCTCAGCTTGAATAATAAAATGTGAATAGATTGCCTGTAAATATTTTTTAAATAAAAATAAATTATCTATGAAAGTACAATATTTTATATTTATACTTGGAGACAAATATTATTACGATATGCAATATATAGATCATATCAGGGCTATGGACTTTTATGCAAGTGTTGTAAGTTTTTTTTTATTATAAACAAAAAAAGTTCTTCAAAGGCCAATTTTATTGAACTTTAATCAGATCAGTCCTTTCAGAGTTTACCATTAAAAATACTTCTTTACAATATTTTATATTAGTGTACATAGATATATTATAAGATAGCCTATATGATACAGACACATATAGCCCATATTATATATAACTGTGAAGTTTCATCTATGAAATGCGTCCAGTAGTTTTTACGTAAAAGAGTAACAAACACACTTTAGCACAAACTTTCTTATTTATAATATTAGTAGGATTAGTAGGGTATCACGTTTTCAATATGAAGAGTACCTGCAACAAGTTGGCACAGATGCCGAGTTTCCTGAAGGGCGGCAGCGTGAGCACCTGCGAGACGCGTGGGCGCGTGTGCGTGGGGTACGCGTAGTAGCGGTACACCGTGGCGTACGCCGCCGACGCGTATCGCGCTCCGCCCTCGCTCGTATGGAACTTTTCGTATCTGGAAATATTACAAAACAATATTTATAATACTCTCTTAGAATTATGCGAATATTTCTTATCTAAATAAAAGTTATATATGTATAGTATATCAACTATCTGGTATCCATAACACAGGCCTCGTAGCTTAACATGGAACTAGATGGTGATGTGTGTTAATGTCCCAACATATAAAAAAATATTATAGAGGTAAAGTTTGTGAGTTTGTAGGGGGTAATCTTTGGATCTACTGAACCGATTTAAATGAAATTTGGTAAGAAGATAGTTTGAGACTCTGGGAAGGACATAGAATACTTTTTAATGTCTACTTGTAATGTTAAAATAACAGTTTACTAAATGCTTAAGAAATTATAATATGAGGTACTTATAAGAAAAACATATTTTTTTTATTGGCTATCACTGGCAGATAGCTGATGTTTTAAGGAGTAACTTAAAGTAGCCTACTTTCACTTCCAGCTTGATGATTTAGCAAATTATTTTTTCATCTTAGATGTTCTAAATAAGGTTTATATGGAAAGTAAAGTTGCAATATTTGCCAAGAATATATGTAAATAAAAAAGCTTCTTTATTTCTCTCATATGGTGTTCATTTTTTTTGTTTTTTTACATCAAAACAATGTACACAAAAATTTTAGGTTTTAAAATGACCTACAGAAAGTCTGCAAAAGTATGTATCTATCTAATAAAACCATGACAAAATAAGACATGTTCATTTAAAATGTCAATAATTATAATTAAATTTCTAATCACAATTAGATTTATTCAAGAATTTACTAGTCCATTTAAGAGTTCAACTATCCATTTGGTCTCAGGGAGCAAAAAAATATTTTTTGCAATATATACTAATATTAAAAAGAAGCAGAGTTTGTTTGAACACAATAATCTCAGGAATCACTAATCCAATTTGAAAAATTCTTTTTGCATTAGATAGCCAGTTTATTGAGGAAGGCTATAAGGCTATATTATTATATATCATCTTATATATAGTCTATCTATTCCATAATAACTGTTACTACATAGCTAGGGATGAACCCAAGCAAAGCAAGGACAAGTCGCTAGTAAAGTAATATTAAAGGAAATCGTTCTATTCATTGCTATAAAAAATGATATCATTTTACTATAACATGAGTCTTATAACAAGACTTTATTGAGTTATAAAATCATCTGCTTAATGTAAATTACATAGTATATTATTTTTTGTAATTTCATACATAGAATACAATTGTTACTAACAACATCTGATAATGTAAAACAAACAACTCAAGTATACCTATTTAGATGATGAAAATTTATCATTCAAGCTACATATTATCGATTAAAATTAAACGTGTAAACAATCATTCAGTGACATATTAACTAGAATCTAAAAATAGAGGGATAATTTTCTTCAAATAAAACAGTGAAACATGTTTAAATTCCACCAATAAAAAAAATGATAGAAAAAAAAGGTTTATTCTAGTTTTTTATATGTATATTAAATCACTTACACAGTGAAGAAAGTCCATTGATCATCATCAACATCTATGAAGGAGGCCGCATCTACATACCAAAGTAAAAAGGTCTGTAGACGCTCATGGTAATCTAAAAATCCTTGTGTTGATACTTCAGAATAATATACTTCAAATGTTCTACTTTCTCCACCATCATCTGTAATTGAAAAAGGAAAACTGTGCATTCAACACACATCATCATTTAAAAATTACTAGCGACTCATCCTCGCTTTGCTTCGAGTTCATCCCTAGACAAAAACAAATTTATCCCACAGGAGCCATTTTTCCAGGATAAAAAGTAATTATATTCTATTCCAGACTATAATCATCTCTGTGCCAAATTTCATCCAAATCCGTTCAGCCCTTCTGGTGTGAAAGAGTAACAAACATCCATCCAACCATCCATCCTCAGAAACTTTCATATTTATAATATTATTAAGTAAGGATAACACTAATAGACTTGAGTCTGTATATTTTCAAAATAACATTACAATAACATGCGTAGGTCACTCGTCAATGACTCCAAATTACAGATTACATTGTTCAGTATCAATTTAAATGATTCCCTTTAATACTTACAAGGTTGGGTTGTAAAAGAATGAATAAGATTTCCATATGGAGTGAACAATTTATCCTTTTCTAGCATTGATACAAAGATGTCTAAGTTTGTGACATAGCCTGGTGCCAGAACCTTTTTTAAAGCTCCTTCAACATCATCTGCTTTGATTTTTTCTGAATTATTTGGCTCTATCTGTAAATGATTGTTTAGATAATACTTAATACTAAGTTATGGTGATAACAATATAAGACATGGAGTACAAAGCAACCTTATCTGTGTATGAAATTCCTAGGTATGTCTTCAGACTTCCTGCAGTGTAGTACAGTTGAATTCTTAGGTCTGTATACCCAAAAATATTTTCGTTGTCTCCAAAAACTTGATGACACATTTCAGGGCCAAAAGTTGTATCATCATTTTCAATATCTTCAGCCGATCTAACTGCAATAAAAGGTTATATTTAGCAAAAAGACCCAATGTTAATTCGTACACGAAGTAAGAGACGGTTGACTTACCTAATTTTAGTTCTAATACATCATTTCCATCGACAACTAAGTGCTCTAAAGCGTCTGCCATTATTTTAAACTTACGATTTGTTAAAATTACTAACGATCAACGAAGTTTTTCATTCCAATTCAACTTCCCGCGCAAATACCGCCAATTATTTAGAGAATTTTACCCTCGAAAGCAAGTGATTAAATGATTCTTAGTTATTTTTTTTTATTATAGTCACGAGAAAAACAAAGGCAGAACAGTTTACCTTTAAATAAAAACGAATTGAGTTTAAAATGGAAACAATAAAAATTTATAAAACTGGTATTTGATAGTTGATACCCGGTCAATTACTTTTGCAGTTTGACTTTTTACTTTTTAAAATATCATAAATTGACAACTATGAAGTATGAACTACCAAAACTTTACATAGTTGGTAACAATTTATATAAAAAAGTTAATAGTAAAATAAATATTATAGATTTTTTATGTAATTCTGTTATAAACTTTGTATATAAAATATTCTCTTTTGTTTTAAATTTATTTACATTCTTTTGAAAGATAATCCCTTATCTTTGAGTGAAACTAATATAAAATTATTATTTTTTCTATTATTATGATTTATGATATTTAAAAATAATATATTTAATCTTATTTCGAACTTTTACATTTCAGATGAATTTCTTTAAAATATATTTAATAAATGTGAAAGTTATTCGACAATAATATACAAATCATGATTTTCCTTTAATCTGTCAACATACGGCCATTAAGTGACGTCATTATGGCCTGGTTGGGTTAGGTTTGCTTGGAAATTTTTGTTAAAAATCTTGTATTTTAGTGTAATATATGTTGTGTTACTTATTTTAGATTAGTAATATAAATACCTCAAACAGTAGCAGTAATTCTGGTGCCAACAAGTGATTATCTCGGCGACATTTTGTGGCGAAAATGAATCGCCATGAAGGTGGGTAATGATAATCAAAATTTGTGCGATGCTTTTGTCACTATAAATTTCTTTGATAAATTCATAAACAGTTATACATTACCATTTTAATAGGGTTTTCTATCGAATAACTCTTTTCTTTTTAGATAGATAAACAAAGAACTTTGTTTAATTATATATTATCAATTTCAGGAGTCAGCTGTGATTCTTGTTTGAAAAATAACTTTAGAGGACGACGATACAAATGTTTAATATGCATCGATTACGATTTATGTGCCGCCTGTTATGAGTCCGGTGCAACAACAAACCAACATACAACAGAGCATCCTATGCAATGTATTCTTTCCAGAAGTGACTTTGGTAAGTTTTATTTATTACTGACTCAACATAATACAATTGGCCTACATTTTTTATGTGAGAAATCAGTGTTGTGTCAGGGTTAGTAACAAGATTAAAGATATTGAAATAGATGTTTATTGAATTTTAATAATTGAATTGAATAATAAATAAACTTCAATTGTTTACAAACATTAAAGAATCAAACAATTATTATATAAATGTATGTATTTGAATTAATTTACACATTTTTAATCATTAGGGTGAGAAAACTTTCTTGTGTGTGTTTGTTAACTTATATACTTAGTGGTACTTGTTAACTTATATACTTAAGTTATTGCAATTTAAAGTAATAAATACAACATTACAACATTAAAGATTATAATTATTAATATCTATAAAATAAGTTGCTTCTAGTATATTTGTATATTTTATCTTTTGATTTGTATATAAATAAATCTTAGAAAAATATTATTAAACTTTTCAGATCTCTACTATGGCGGGGAAACACTTGCACTTGAACAGCCACAGGCATATACTTGTCCTTTTTGCAATCGAATGGGCTTTACAGATACTGCTCTCATGGAACATGTCACTGCAGAACATGCAGACACTACTTTAGCTGTAAGTAAAAAGGACGAAGTTTTATATTCAGTATATATTTTAAATATTGTCATCAATAGTACCTTTGATTTCATTATAACGCCTAATGACAATAATTTATAATATTCTCATGTATTAATTTCTTGTAATTCTGATTATGCTAACAAAAATAAGCATTATATAAATAATCTTACTTATATGAATTCAATCAATTTCTTTTGGCAACAACTTGAAGTTTTTGACTCATTCGCATTCTTTTGACAGTTCTTAGGACAGTGTTTTGTGTAATTTACTACATTTAAATTTAATAAATACTGATATTAATTATATATTGTATCTGCTATAACATAATATTTTTTTATTTTTAGGTGGTGTGTCCAGTTTGTGCTTCAATGCCAGGTGGAGAACCAAATTTTGTAACTGATGACTTTGCAGGCCATCTTACACTTGAACATCGAACTGGACCAAGGGATCTCATATCTTTTCTGATATCCTTTTTTAAATACTACTATACTAAATATTTTAATTTCATTTACTTGATTAATATTAAGGGTCACTTGCACCAAATTAATCTTTTTGAAAAGTTTTTAAAATGCTCGGCGAACATCATATTGTTGCTGATTACTGATTCAATATTTGTTAAATATATTTAAGAAATTTAAATAATATTGGGAATTATGGTTAAATTGGACTTAAGGATGTCCATTAATTAATTTACTTTTTTTATCTACTATCATAATATTTTAACATTATGCAAATTACATTTTTATTAATTTGGCTTTTGAAAATACATATATGTAGTAAAATTCTTCATATTTTTAATTTATACTACAATAGTTGAAATGTTGAAAAGTCACACTTTAAATTAAACTCCAACCTCTTTTAAGTACTCTACTATATAAATATTTAGTACTTATTACACTGCAACTGCATAATATATAAAATAATACTAATGAATACAAAAGTTAGAAACTGAATGTTTGTTACTTCTTTACATAGTAACTGATGTATGGATTCAAGTGACATTAGGGATGGGGTAAAGTAATAAATATATTTAAGCTAATTTTATAATTATTTTTCTAGCTATTTGTTTTTTTTATTTTAAAGTATCGGTTTGAACTCGCTTTGCTTGTTTGCGCGTCCCTAGCAATGAATGGTTTAGGAATGTATAGAGAAGAAACCTACAAGAAAAAATAGTCTTTGGTTAAGAACCTTCACAGGTGTAGGGAAAACAATTTACCAAAGTTTCATCACAATCGGACAAACATACAATGAAATATTTAATTTAATTTATATAGGTTCAGGTAACATTATTTACAATATAAATCCTTAACCACTGTGTACGATGAGCCGAGCGGTATCCGACACGGAGGAGTGCGCCGCATGCCGCCCTCGGGCCGCGGCGTGAGTCGCGCGCGCCGCACCAACATGCAGTTCAGGTACCAATATTTCTTTCTTGACATTTTTGAAATGATTTTATTAGATTTATTTATTTATGTAATTGACCTGAAATGTTGAGTTCAACCTAGTTGTTATTGAGTCGATACATTTTTATATATTTATGTATGTAAATCCAGATGATAATACAATAATTTATTAATATCGAGATATTCCGACGATGAAGTCAGGAGATGCATAGTTGAACTCTTCAATGGTTACTAATAAAAAACCCCCTGGACTTATCATTGGACACTTTTTAGCTTGCTATTTATATGAGTAAAACCAGCAACTCAGTCTCGATTCGCTCGCACGGACTCGCCCCGAGTGATTCTTTAATTTGACATAACTTTTTTATTTATAAACTGATTGAACTAAAACAAACACTAAATATTAAGTGAAGCTTACTAGAACACGTTAGAGAAAGCGCACCCAAATTGGTTATGCTGTTTCTGCGATTATCGCGCATAAAAGCAAACAACAAACCGACAAACAGACAAATATTCTAAAAATCATTGTCTTGGATTCTATTGCTTTAATAAAGACCCCCCAAATAATAGTTTATCTCCAATATCTTTCATGTACAGACAGCGATCAGTTACTTCATAATATGTATGATTATATGTACATACTACATACCAGTGACTCACCCTCGCTTCGCTGGGGTTCGTCCCTAGCTTGATTCCTAATACAAACTTTCATCCCCATTTTCACCCTCGTATGAGATGACTTCCGATATAAAAAGTATTTTATTTTTATCTGAATCGGTTCAGTAGATCCAGAGATCATCCCCCCTACAACGTCACAAACTCAAAAACATCTTTATAATATTAGTATAGATAGTATAATAAGGTCGTATCGGTGGTATGTAACTCAAAGTTCGTGAAAAAACATGTCGTTCAGCACGAGCGGCGGCATCTCGTCGCTGTCGCCGTCGTCGCGCGACGCGGTGGTGGACCCCATCGCGGAGCTGCTGTCGCAGCTGTCGGGCGTGCGGCGCGGCGCGCAGCCCGGCACGCCCAGCCAGCTGCAGCAGCTGCAGATGCAGTTGCAGCTCGAGCGGCAACAGGCCTCGGTGAGAATTTGACAATTATATTATCTACAACTAGCGACTTACCATCGCTTCGCTCGGGTGCGTCCGAATTTCAATTTTTTTTGAGCGAAATCCTAATTATTTTTCTAAAATTAAAGTGGCCTAATTTACTCCTTATATCATCAGCTATCTGTCAGTGAAAGTCTCGTCAAAATCAATCCTGCTGTTTCGGAGATAAGACGGAACAAACAGACAGACAGACTTTTTTTTTTATAAGTCATTGATATATAAAAACATCTATATGTCGTGGCCTGATCGTAGATTTGGTCACTTCATGATGTGGCCGACCATTTCATGAAATTGTCAATATCCGCTGCCCATATTATGTTATGGTCTGGCCAGATCAATGAATAATCAGCGTTTAATAATATAAACAGCTAAACGCATGGCTACTCCATGATAATGATCAAATATTAGTGATCGTAATTCGTATCGTAAAATAGTTACGTTACCCACCGTTAGAGGCGCTGATATCGTTTTTTTTTTGTGGTGATGAAGTGAAAGTAGGGTGACCACGCAACGAAAATCGTATCTTATTCAGCCCTTTTTAACGTCCCACTGCGGGGCACGGGCCTCCCTTCAGTACGAGGGGGATCAGGCCATAGTCCACCACGCTGGCCAAGTGCGGGTTGGCGGACTTCACATGTCTTTTGAAAACTTGCTAGGTTCTCTCAGACATGCAGGTTTCCTCACGATGTTTTCCTTCACCGTTAAGACAATAGGTAATAAATAAATGTTGGAAATGATTCGCACATGAAAATATCAGAGGTGCGAGACCCGGGATTTGAACTCGCTTCACTCGGTTTCCCAAGAGAGCGCGTTACCACTAGCCAAGTCACTGCCTTTTACAACGAAAATCAATGGACTATTATTAGATTTCAAAATATGACTTCATGGACTTCAAAATATGAAATTGTGAGTGAATAGATTTAATTTAAAAAACGAAAAAGGTTGACGATCCTACTATTGGTATAATTCCCATGGATTTTTTTTTAAATTTTGGCACAAGTTTAGTACATTATGGGGCGCGGCCTCTGGAGGAGTGGGTGGTATTTACGTTATACGGAATCTGTTCTGAACATATTAAACCCGTCTTAAGATTTTCATGTTTATAAATACATAATATGTATTCTAATATTATAAAGTGGAAAAATTTGTTTTTTTATTTGTTTGTTGTATTCCGAACAGGCTCCGAAACTACTGAACCGATTTAGATGAAATTTGGTAAGAAGATAGTTTGAGACCCTGGGAAAGACATAGGATACTTTTTATCCCAAAAATCATCCCTTAAGGGGGTGAAAGTTTGTGTGGGGCAGCAACCTAGGGACGAACCCGCTAGCTTTTTAGCTAAAATTAAGCGATCAGCGAAAATTGTGCAGTCATTGCGCAGAAGTCGCGCGATAATCGTATTACCTAAGCGATGGCTTGCTAATCGTTCGCCGATTGCCAATTCGCTAGCGCCACTAACAATTTAGTAGCGATAATTGAATCTAAAAACGTAGCAAATAATATTTTATTTTTATTTATTTATTGAAATTTCAGTACATATATAGCAAAAACAAATATAAACGATATTGCAACGAACTTGCAGAAGTAAATAAACTGTAATTGTAACCTCTGCTAAAAAATGCAAATTAACATTTGGCAATCGGATAGGATTTGTGTTGTACTCGTATACCTACCTATTTGTAATTATATTTAAATAACAGCTCAAATTAAATAAATAATATTCCATATTTAATTATGAAACTAATCAAAATTATAAAAATGTTTAAAGTTAAAAAATATTGTAAGGTACTTTGGTGCCATTTTTCAGTTTTTTGACCATGATTGCTGTAAAGTATTCGAAACGTCGGGAACCAAAAATCAAAATAATAGTTATATTAAAAATAGTTTTATTTAAAATGTCAAGTATTCGCATAAATGTAAGAAAGTATTATTTTATGATTAATTAAAAAAAAATTAAAATGGATCTGGTTAAAACTTGGTATACATGTTTTACGACTTATCGTCGAGGATTTTTGATTGGAGGGGTATTTCGTCCAAAAATGGACAAAAAGGAGGCTATTGGATATCTCTGCCTTATGAGGTCCGATTTCGATGGTTCTTTTATTATTTGAAAGATAGTAACTTTTAATTGGTCTCATAAAATTTTGCTGAAGACCTAATGAGGATCTTCAGCGTGATGAGCAGAAATGAAGTAAAATGAAATGAAAGTTGAAATGAATTTAAAATGAAGTTTGTGCTCGCGAGAACTACTAAGAGAAGAGATTTTAGCTAGATATTAAATGAAGTCCGAAATCAATATTGCTATAACATTGAATTACAAAGTTGCTTCTTACAGGATTCTAATTGCAATAAAGATAAAATATGGATTAATATCAGCGTGTTACGCTATTGATTATACAATCCAAATAATCGGTATTAATAGCCTCGACCTGTCAATTGATATTCGAAGAGTTTGATATTTTCATGTCACCATTCAAGAATATATTAATAAACAAAAAAAACATCAAGAACAACCAAGAATATAACACAGGAAAACTACAAAAATATTGTCGTTATTTTTCGGGAAAGATTGTTTTGTTAGTGTATGTTAATTTTCGTATCTCTGCAGGCCGCCCGGCAACAGCTAGAGCGGCTGCCGCGGAGGCCGGCGGCGGTGAGCTCGAGCACGAGCGCGCCGCCGCCCGCGCCGCAGCCCGCCGCGCAGCCCCCGCCGCAGCCGGACGCGGCCGACTCGCAGTACCTTCTTGCCGGCTTCCTTGGTAAGTTATGCCGTTGTCTTATCTACTATTTTATCAATAAGACTAACGTTTTCCTGCAGATCTGTTATGTATATGTACATATATCATTCAAACAGCTGTAGCCAATGTACTCTGATACGTAAGCTATATTACTGTTAAGATGTTGCAACATAGATAGATATTCGACATAATTTCCGTCTTGTCCACGTTTATTCTAAGACAATTGGCCCTCGAAAAATCAGCTGAGATTAGGTCCTTCATGGTCTCTGCTATGATCACAATGTCGAAGGCAAATCGAAGATGATTGTTGTTGATGCCCAGTCTACCCCAGGTCAAAATCTTAAAGAAGTCCAATGCAGCAGTAAACAATTTTAGGGAAGTGATAACACCCTGTCGTCCTCTGTCCTCTGCAATTGGATGGGATAAAGTCCCGATCCTGAATTCAAACTAATGATGGCGTTTCCATTCAAAAACTTCAACACTTCAATATACCAATACTCAACTCGCCACTCATAGAGAGGGCTGTGCTCGGAACTTTAATGCGAGATCGAATCAGGAATGAGAAAATTTGCATAAGGGCCAAAGTCACTAAAATAGCCCGCCAAATCTTGGCGATTTATTTTGGTTAAGTGGGCGGGGCACATCGCTCGCATAACCGATGGTCTTTTGGTACAAGTTGGGTAGTGGCAGCTGCGTACTGGAAGGTGATGCGCTGGCAAGCTTCCCACAAGATGGGACGACGACTCGGTCGATTTCGTCTGAACCCCTGAACTGGATGCGGATGGTACATGACCAGCAGTGGTGGAAATTCTTGTGGGAGGCCTACATCCAGCAGTGGATGTCTTTCATCTGAGAAGAAAAACATTATTTCAAAACATTTACATGCTGACAAGAACCAACATTTTGTCTATAATTTAGTTTTACGTCATTTGCGGACACTTTATCTTGTAGTGCAATTGTTGTTGTTGTGGATTGTACACTAAAAATGTTTTAATGGATATTTTCGCTTTCGTTATCTTATATAAACACGATCTACTATCACATTTTCTACCTCAAAAGAGTTATGTGCACACATTAGGTTTGAATTATGACAATAAGATTTTAATGTAAAATTTATCAATTACCTACTGGAAGGAAATCACATTTTGTGTTTCTATGCAGTTTATCAACGTGTTTATGCAATGTCCAAAGATGAGCAGATTATACCTTGTATTAGGTGAATTTCTTATGATCTTACTACTTAATATGACTGATTGACGTCGGTTAATAGGATAAGTTTTACATTTTAAGTTCTTGTTTCTTTAATTTATATAACTAGGTACTATATCTCAATGCGTCGTTCACTTGCAGGTGCAACGAACGGAACGGACGTCGCCGAGGCAGAGTCCCGCGCGACGCTCCTCCGCGGGCTGATGCTGGCGTCGCTGGGCCGCGCCGCGCCCGCGCCGCCGCCGCCCGCGCCCCGCGCGCCCGCGCCGCCCGCGCCGGCGCCCGCGCCCGCCCCCGCGCCCGCGCAGCCGCCGCCGCGCGCCAAGCCGCAGCCGCGCACCAAGGTGCCCGCGCCGCCCGACCCGCCCGCGCTGCCCACGCGCCCGCGCCCCGTCTGACCGCCGCCCGTGTTGCAGGAGCGCGCGGTGAGCGACGGCCGCAGCTAGGGGCCGCCGCGGCCCGCTGCGGCAGGGGCAGCTCGGCCGGACCGGCCCCGCGCCGGTCGCCCACGGTGTAAATATACAGCCACGATGCACGTCACGTACCGGTGACGCCCTACGACCGGTTTTACTATGTTGTTTTTCGCTAACACTTATTAGTGGATGCTTAGGTTTGTTTTGTTGGCTTTCGAAATATCAGTGTGATTTCCTTTATTATAGAGAATACTTAATAGTTATGGAATGTTTTAATCGATTTAAAATAAAATATAAATAAGGTAAAAAAAACGATCACAGAATGACTGTTAGATATAATGATAATGTACGAGAGGAGTCCTCCGTAACCGCTAGCATTCGATGTTAACTCGAGAGAGACCAAAAGCAGTATTGAGTGATTTTTGTTATGAGATTATGTTATGTTTGTCAAATATTTGTAGTTATATAATTAATAGATACATGTATTTTTATAAAGGCGACATCTAACACTATGCTACACGTATATATTACTGTGACTCCTCTCCGACATAATATTCTTTAGTAAATCAATTGAAAAGCTACTTACACTCAAATTGTCCCTAGCTATTCAAAAGTGCTTATTAGTTTGATCATTATACTCCGACATCGCAAACTGTTTGTATGTACCCTAATTAAATTCTATAACATTAATATTGGTCATTATTTTTATTTCATTACCCTCAAGTACATGTTCACTAAAGAAATATATGTAGTTAGTGTCACGGCTATACTTCTACTAATAATTTAATATATCAATGATAATTGTTTTACAGCACATTAAAAATATCGAAACATTTAATTACCTTTTTTATTTTATACTAGCATTGTCCGCGGCTCCGCCCATGTTTAGGTGACCTAAAACCAAATTCTTAGGTTTTACATATTAGTACTAGTATAGTATTATATGATATGTGATATTAGTATACTCTTATTTTGCAGTTTTTGTATTTTTTCTTAGAAATGAGATACTTTCCCGTGGTAAAAAGTATCCTATATGTTGATCCGGATAACCAGCTATCACCATACCAAAATTCATCAAAATCCCTCCAGTGGTTTTTCCGTGATGCGGTAACAGACAGACAAAAATTCTAAAAACTGTAGATTCGGCCTCTGTATCGATAATAATGTTTATTTCAATAAGATTTTCCAAAAAAATTTTAATGTACAGATTCGGCTTAGTTACAATTTTATTATATGTGTTTAATTTAATATATGGTTATAAAAAGTATATGTTAATTTAGTATCGAGTTTACACTGGCTGGCAATAGCTTTTTAATTTGTTGTAATGACACTTCAGTAAGAATAAAGAAATAGAATGAGTTTGACAACATTCAACAAAAAAAAAATGAGTTTCACAACATCCAACATACATTGTGGTATTTTATTTTAGTTAAAAGTAAATAAGTTAACAGTACGTGCAAAATACAATATGTATAGATTTAACATTACTACTATTTTGTGTCAGTTGTTTTCGTCATAGAAATGTACATCGTAAATCATATTACGAGTAGGTACGAATATAAATTATACTTATCTATATTAATATTATAAAGAGGTAAAGTTTGTGGCGTTGTATGGGGTAATCTCTGGATCTACTGAACCGATTTAGATGAAATTTGGTAAAAAGATAGTTTGAGACCCTGGAAAGGTCAGAATATTTTTTATTTTGGAAATCATCCCTTAGGGGATAAAAATAGGGACGAAAGTTTGTATTGGAAAGCAAGCAACGAACTCGAGCGAAGCGAGGGTGAGTCGCTAGTATATAGATAAAGGTAAACAACTTCTTACGTACGTTCATAATTACGTACGTTTTATTTTTTATTAACAGTTTTAATTAGTAAAACATTTTTAGTTTTATTTGACAATTATTTTTTAGACTTATAACTTGTATATAGCTTAGTAATCGTATATTTTTCTGGCACAAGTTTAGTATTAGGGACGCGGCCCCTGGCGGAGTGGGTGGTATTTCTGGATAGGGGACGTGATAGGGAGTCCAAATATATAAAAATTATTTTAAGAAAACAAAAGAGTCAAAAGTTATTGTGACTTAAAGTTACAACATTTCCATACATTTCTTTACCACCATTCGGAGTGGGTGGTATATTTAGACAGGGGAGGTGACAGAGAGTCAAAATATATTAAAAATATTTTGAGGAAACGTACGAGTAAAAAGTTATTGAGACTTAAAGTTATAACATATCTAACACATTTCCATACATTTCTTTACCTAAATAAGTGATTATGTATTGAACAGCATTGATACCAAGTTTCAAGTAATTCTGATCATAAATAATTTATAAACTTTATTACCCATTAATTTTAAAACTTATTTCACATTAAGAATGACAGAGTTTTATACATTCTGTAATCCCCTATTTTACCGTTATTTATTTATTTATTACGAAATTAGGGGATAAATTTCGAAAAATCCTTTCGTATCGGATGCCTGTATATTATAAGAAATACGTCCTCTAAATTTCACGTTTCTACAACCAGTGCTTTAGGCTGTGCGTTGATTCATCATTCAATCAGATCACCACAGGATGCACCTCTCCTTCTCAATTCTTCCTTCAGCTGGTTTAACTTCCAGGTACAATACATTGCAGAGTAAGGGTAAGTGGGTAAGTCACTAGCTGTTAATGAAAAATAATTAATAAATTTAATAATCCATTTTCATTTATTTTTAAATTGCTTTATTTTATTTGGCTATTTTTTAACAATTTTTAGACCCATTACGAGTTTATACAAAAATTTCATGGTAAGAAAATTTAAGTTCGGTATGATATTCATTTTGTAGCACTACGTGACCAGTACCCGCATTAAAGTATCGCTTATCAAAGAAATAATTCAGTTCCATTTTCTTGATTTCAAAGAATGAAATAATGAATCTACGTAATACATCAAAAATACATGAAAACAAAAAGAAAGTACCTTTGGATGTGATTTAACTCTGGTTACCCTTCATTGTACATTTTTATTTTTACTAATACATCTATTTTATTTATAAAATAAAGACGGATTTTTTACAACACTTAGAACTCTAGAACTGCTGGACTGATTTTTATGACCTTTGTTTTGTTGAATTTTTCGTCACCCCGATATCATTATACCGATTGGTCTATTAGCCAAGGGCTAGTGCAAAATTCATTAAGTTGATATTTTTTTTATTTGATTCAATAATTTAAAGTTGTTTAATTAAGAACTGATTACAATGACTTCTTTTTCTAACATTAGTACTTTCTTTTATTAAATATAAAACATGAATAAATTACAAAAAAAAAATCTATTTTCGGGTGCTTATGGTTGGCGCCGGCGGGATAAACCGGGTATGGTTGTGATGAGAATTATTGGTTTGAGATGAGGTTTATTGGTCAGGTAAATCAACGACTGTTATCTGTAATCTGACAGCCCTGGTCTAATATCTATATTAAAATAAAAAGTTACAATTGGTTGTATATGTATGTTTAATGCACTACGAATAAATATGGGTATTTATTCGTAACTAATGCATAATACACGAAACAAATGATTTGAATTAGTCTAATTTACGACACAATAATCGAATACAAAAGGCACACGTATCGAATGTACTTTAATATTTTGAACTATTTAATCTGTGTAAGTCAACGTGATTTTTTACCTATTCTTGTTTATAAAATGGTGGTAAAATGCAAATTGTTGTTATCTGTGATTATAAATTGTCATCACTAGATTTGGTTGGTTGTTGGTCTCCAATTCTTAATAAATTGTAATAGTATTTTTTATAAATTAAATACCTACCAAAAAGTTATATTGTATTAATACTAGTTCACAAAAACTGATTATGGCTGATTCTACTGTATCAGATGTTAGTAAAATGAAGGTAGTAGATTTGAGAAAAGAGTTGAAGTCTCGTGGACTTTCATACGCCGGTGATAAAGCTGAGCTTATTGCAAGATTGCAATCAGCTATGTCTGAGGATGACCATGGAGATATTAATCTGGATTCTGATGAAATTGACTCAGATGGAGTATTAGAAGACGAGGAAGACAAAAGTCAAAATGATATACTTGACGATTCGGCTGTAGATACTCTCAACGAAGAACTTGCACTGGTAGAAAATTCTCCGGAAAAACACATACCAGAAAGTAAGCCTCTGAGGACTTTGAAAAGAAAAATCACAACAGAAACTCCTAAAACTGAAAACAAAGAAACAATTGCAAAAAAAATTGTATTAAACCGATCGGTTTCTGTTTCATCAATTACCACAAAATCCTCAGGTGATAAAAAAGTAATAGAGGCGCCAGACACTGATATACCAGAAAAAATATCGTCTAATAATAAAATAAAAATTTCGGCTGAAATAGATCCAAAAACTAGGCTTGAAATGCGCGCTAAAAGGTTTGGATTGCCAGTGAAAATGACAGAGGAACAGAGAAAAGAAGCAAGGAAACAAAGATTTAATCAGAATACAGTTTCTAATAATAGTAACGCAAGTATTACTACAGCAGAATCTGGATCTTTAGCTGATAATATAGATAAGTTAAAACTGAGAGCTCAAAGATTTGGGCAGTCTGTATCAGCTATCATGACTGACATTGAAAATAAAGAAAAGCTGGAAAAACGAAAAGCTAAATTCAATGCCAACAAATAAGCTATAGTAGTCGATGAAAAGCTAATCTCTTGTGCATATTGCACCAAAGTTTTTGTAATTAACATAATTAAGAGTTTCAATGTTATTTTAATAATCAATTATAAGCTTAAAAATACAAATTACTTTTAATTTATAAATTTTGTCTTGTCCAGATATCATCTTTCCTATTTTCTCTCATTTCTTTAAAAAAAAGGAAGAAATAACTATTATACACAACATATAAAATATGCTAGTATAGGTTGTACTTGCTATGTTAATTTTAGAATAATAAATCTGATAATTTTAATATGTATGTTATATTGATATATCTAAAGAGCCCTTGTTTGGCTTGGGATTCATCGCTAGGTGCTTAACAATGCAAGCGAGCAACTCAAAAGCCAGTTTGGTTTCAGCTTCAAATAGTTATGATTCCTGACAGGAAAAACATTTTTTTAGAATATATAGGAAGCTACTTGGCTGACATGTAGCTTACTATAAGAGAATTTTCAAAGTTTATAATACTAGCATTGCCCGTGGCTCTGCCCACGTTCAGATAACCAAAAACCAAATTCTTAGATTTCACATATTAGTATACTCTTACAATGCAGTTTTTGTATTTTTTCTCAGAAACGTTATATTTTCTCGCGGTAAAAAAAGTATCCTATACGTTGACCCGGATAACCAGCTATTACCATACCAAATTTCATCAAAATCCCTCCAGTGGTTTTTCTGTGGTGCGGTAACGTACAGACCAAAATTCTAAAAACTAGATTCATCGTCAGTATCGATAATAATGTTTATTTCAATAAGATTTTCCAAAAAATATTTAATGTGCAGATTTGGCTTAGTTACAATTTTATTATATGTATAGATTTTATTAGTGTAGAAGTGTAGTAAAAATCAGCTCTTTAAAAAAATATTTTATTTTTATTCTGAATATTACATTGTAGATTATAATAATTCTTTATCTAATAATGGAAGTTCATTAAAATCTTCAGCCTCAATTGTAAAACTTTCAGGTTCAATATTTTTTTCATCCTTATTAAAATCTTGTGGTATCTTAATGCTACCATCCATATAAGATTCTTTGTATAATGTTGACCATCTTACTGCAATATCTTTATGTAATGATTTCCTAAATGCCATACAATGCATATGTTTAAATTTTTCATATTTTATTCGAGAAAATCCCATAGTTGCCAATGAATATCTCCAAGATTTCATTAATTTACTATTCGCTCCAACATGCTTTGAGTCTGGTGTATTAATTATTAAAAGACCACCAATTCTTAATAATTTGTAGGCATTTTCACAAGCAACAACTCTTAATTCAGATGAAGGAATATATTCTAGAAGAAAACAAAATGTTATAACATCAAAATAGTTTTCTTGAAGCTGTACAACTTTATTATCAGTTATTATTTCATTAGGTCCAATAGATACATTTAGAAAATCACATTCTTTTACTGAGGCATTAGCAGGACATAAATCTATAGCAAATACCTCCAAGAAATCATACATTTCAAATGGATTATAACAACTACCAACATCAAGTAATTTATATGGTTTTGAAAATAGCTCTTCCATGTTAACTTTTAAACCAATTTTATCACCAATGTTCCTTTCTCTCTCATCATATTTTTGTAAGCCATTGTTATTAAAATAATCATAACAAAAATCTGCAGACCATTGTATTCGAGATTTTAATAAACTAGGCTTATTCGAAGAGTTTTGTTCCCAATGTGTGTTAGCCAATTTTTCCATACATAAAGAATATTTCTTTAAAACGTCTTTATTCGCACAGTGATCTAACCATGCCTTATTCACCCCTTCAACGGCAGTTTTATTTCTAAGTGCCGAATGAACATTCTTTAAATATAGAGCCAAACGCTTATGTTCGTCACTAGCCATTGATATTGACAAAACCTAAGATATATTAGACGGTATACCAGACTTTTGACTTCTAAGTTCTAATCTAACTGAAATGAATAGGTTTTCATGTTAGTATAAACAATAATTATTCGTTGACGTTTTGTAAGTTGTTTAATGTTTATTATTCATCACAAACTATATAGAAATGCTACGCATTTATTTAAAGAGGTATGGTTTGTATATTGTTTACTATTGTAAATTGTAATTAGGTACTAATGTTTGAAATGTCAAAGACAAAACTTTTGACTATTTTATTTGTCATCACTCATCCATGCTTTTGAGCTAGGTAGGACGATTTGTGAATTGTGATAGGTACATCGTCCTAGCTTTTGAATTTTATATATGTAGCAATATACTCTATGTTTTGAATTTTGACTATTGACTCAAAAGAAAAGCTACCTTCTATAATATACCTATCTATGGCATACTATGCCTACATAATAAGTGCTGCGCTTCCAATTGACGGGTAAATTACCCGAAAAGCGGGTAATTTTAGGCGATTATTTGATTGCGGGTAATTTTGAGCGAGGTAAAAACGGGTATTTTAGTTTAGCTGGCAACGTTATCATAATAGTCTATACATAATATATTAAAATTCTAACTAAGCCGAATCTGTACATGAAATATTTTTTTGAAAATCTTATTAAAATAGACATTATTATCAATACAGAGGCCAAATATTATATATATATATATATATATATATAGTTTTTAGAATTTTTGTCTGTCTGTTACCGCATCACGCAAAAACCACTAGACAGATTTTGAAGAACTTTCGTATGATGATAGCTGGTTATCCGGGTCAACATATAGGATACTTTTTATTTCGGAAAAATATGTAATTTCTGAGAAATCTATACTAAACGTTAAACCGTAAGTATGGACGAACCTGTTTGGAGCGAGGGTGAGTCGCTAGTAATTTATAAAACAGCTTATCGTGCAATATTGGCAAAAGGAAAGCAGGAGGTATCGTAAAATTCCAGCCCAGTGTTCAAATGTTGCGAACCAAATTATGGTCATCTTCTCACTATACTAAGCCGAGTACTGGCGGAAATTGATTAATTTGATATTTTAAGTTTTTTTTATTTTCGATTCAATAATTTAAAGCTGTTTAATTGAGAACTGATTAAAATTAACTCTTTTACTAACATTAGTACTTTCTTATATTCTATAAAGAACATGAATAATTACTTTAAAAAACTATCTTCGGGTACTCTGCTCATGGTTGGTGCCGCGGGCGGAAAAAACCGGGTATTTTGAGGTTTATTGGTCGCGTAAATCAACGACTGTTATCTGACAGCCCTAACTATATGCTTAGATTTGTCATCCATGCTTAGATTGTATCAAAGACATAGAGTTCATAGAGTTTTTTGTTGTTCTTGGTCTATGTGATGGATGACAAATAATATGGTCTATGTTTATAATAGAATTCTGTACGTCTGCGCCTAAAAAAAATGACTTTAAATCACCTTATTTATACACTATATAAAACAACATAATCATAATGGATTAAAAGCTTAAGTAAAATAATACGATTGGATCCGTACACACAATAATATTAACAACTAGCGGCTCACCTTCGCTTCGCTCGGGTTTGCCTCTAGAAAAACAACAACAAATCTATCCCACGGGAACCGTACAATGTTCTTGGATAAAAAGTAGCCTATTTTATTCTGATGTATGAACTATATTATTGTAGTTTCATTAAAATTAAATTAGTCGTTTTTGTGTACTAAGCTGTATAAATTACTATAGTTTTTTAAATATCACACGGGAACTCATTAATTTTACGGGATGAAAAGTAAAGTGTTGACCGGGGACCGGGGATAAGGTACCACCATGCAAAATTTTATTAAATTCGGTCTAACAGTTTATGAGATTAGCCCGTACAATCAAACAGACAGGGAAACAAAAAAAATGAAAAAAAACGGACTTGTTCTATTTATCTTCTTAAATCCCCGTGACTCGGTTTTTAGCATTTTTTTCTATTAATAACATTTGACCTCTACAGTTTTATCCTCTTCCCTCTATCTACTTTTATCCTATTCGGCCGAATACCGAATATACAATAATACACCAAACAAAACTAAATAAAATAAAGTTATGTTAAAATATTATCTATTTTAATCTATAAAAGCAAGTTACATTTTTTTCTGAAATTACCGGGAAACTTACCTTTCTCATTGATATTTTTCTGTAGGCTTGCAAATGGCCACTTTTGGTCATTTTAATCTGGAGCGAGATTTATAGTTTGTTTTGATTTTTGAGTTTTGACATTGACAACCGGTCTGCCGTATTATAAAATTAATAGGTACTGTTTAACTACCTTGTTTATTTATATTTGGGAATCTGTTTAATGTAAAGATATATTATCATTTATCAAATATGGAAGACTGGGAATCAGATATTATAGTAGAAAAATGGCTACAAGAAAACGATGACACTAGTATGCCATTACCTAATATAGAATCTAAGCCTCATCTCCTCATATCAAAAGTAATATAAAATAAGGTATAAATAATTTATAAATATACTAGGCATTGTTTTTAATGTTTATTTCGCAACAGGTTCGTAAGCACTACATGGAATATCTTATTAAATTACTGTCTGTTAATTATGAGAGCCACCAGAGGTTACGGAACAAGAATATTTATCTTCCAAGTGCTATATGGAGATGTGCTAAGATAATAGAGATGTCGGCAGCGCAAGCATCAATGGTAGTTCAATTATATAGAGAAAGTATTACAAGTGTGGTAAATGCTTTGTTAATTTTTATAGCATGTATATGTCAAAAGTTATCTATTCATTTTATATATTTTCTAAATTTAAAACAAAATTTGTATGATGTTTTCATTTTCTATTACAGATAAAAGATTTAAAAAATAATACAAAAAAAGGACTACTTTTTAGGAAATTGTATGAGTGTCTTCATTATTCACCTGAAAATGAGAAAAAAACACAAGTATCCCACACCAATTTTAATGACTGTAAGTGTCAGTGTAACTGTAATGAAAAAAAGAAAATAAAGAATATATCAAAATCACCTAATAATAAAGATACCAATTTAAGCAATAATATTACCATTCAAAATGACAAAAATGATTTGAGTTTAATCACTAACCCTGTAGATTTAATATCACAAATAGAGATGGATATGTCTCAAAATGCTGCAATTATCACATCTTCTCCACAAATAAAAGATCAGATATCTGTAGAATTACAAAACTCTGATGATCTGATGCAACAACTTGAGAAATTGTTTCAAGGTGACCCTAATGATGATGATTTATTCGATGGAGCTCTATGTTCTGCAGACCTTTCTAAGGTAAAAAATAAAGAGAGTCTAAAAGTAATTAATGATGATCTAAGAAGCACAACAAACCCTCAAGAAAAAATTATTGAAAGCAAAGATCTACCAAATAAATGTTTAGATGAAAGACTGTCATTACTTAGTGGCATATTGGTAAACAATGACTGCACTTCCCAAGATTCTACCAGTATTCAAAATAAAAAAAAACGACCAAGTAAATGGTTATGTGAGGAATACTTTCAAAAAGTAAAACTGTTTGAACTGTTAGATCAAATAAGTGACTGTGATAGAAATAAATTGGCAAGAGTAAGTTATCATAAAATCAGTTGAGGGGTACTAAATTTATTACAAATAATATAGGATCAATAATCTTATTGCATTCTTATTTTCAGATAAAAGAGATGTTGCTAGATCTTTTTGGTGAAGATAGTGATGATGAAGATGTTGTATCACCTTTAGAAGAAAGCACAGAGTTTGTTATAAGTTGCAAAGAAAGGATTACACCATGGGTTGTAAAAATACTAACTCCTTATTATGTTAAGGGTAGGATTAGAGGCAAAAGTTTATTTAAATCTTTAGCCAAGCATTTAATCAAACTTATCTATCAGTGTAGTAAATATCCATGTAAGTATGTACATATTTTTGTTTTAACATTAATTTTGTTTTTATAATTTAAGATTGAATTAGTATTTAACAAAACACAGCCTACCAGCATGAATAATAAATAGGAAACAGAAATGTAAATAACATTTGATAGATATCAAATATTAATGTATCAACATTTTTTTTTTTTCAGATGAATATGAGGTACAAAGCTTTGTTAAAGATTTTCTAAACACCCATAAAATGATAAGATGTGAAGCTGATTTTAGAGAATTTAGAATTGAAAACGTTTAGAATAAATGGCTGTGAAAATATGGTAATATTTTCAGGAGATTTTCTAAAGCAATATAATATGCAAATATTCTATGATTAACAACTGTTTGCTGTTTAAGCCTATAAAATGTAGTGACCGATCGAAGATTCGGTTTCGGCCAGAGTTTCGGTTTCGGCCAAAAACAAGTTCGTGTTTGCTTAAAAAAAGTGAGTTCGTGCATCGTGGTCGCTAGCCTAGTTCGTCAGTCGCCGGCTCGATAGCGTCAAATTAAAGTTATGTGTGTACTGTATACACCACTATTATGAATGCAAAAGTGTGAGTGAGTGTGTGTGTATGAGTGTATATTCTCTCTGTGGACTGCCTCGGTGGTCTAGTGGTTAGCATGTACAGCTATAGATCCTGAGGTCCTGAGTTCAATATAGTATTGGGTTACTGACAAGAAATTTCTTGGTAGTACCAGAGGTAATACCAGAAACAGCCAATAATTGGAAAGATAGCGGTGATTTAACCCTGTGGCTCGGATAGCACGTAAAGCCGTTGGTCCTGCGCTTCATCACCGGCGACGTCAAATCGTCTTGAAAGAAGTCTGAGAGTGACATGGTAAAAGTGCACGTGTGCCTGCGCGAAAATCTAGTCTTAGTGATAATGGTCAATGTTGGGAGATCGGTCAGGAAGACAATATGAGTGTGTGTAAGTGTATTTACGTGCGTGTGTGCGTTCATGCATGCGTGTGAGCGTTTGTCAATCCTTAAAATTAGTACCCTGTACTATATTATACTATGGGTAAAACATAAATTACTGTTAAAGAACTACTGGGCGAAGCGAGGTGTAGTCTAAATAAGTTTCATTTCGGCCGAAACTGAAGATTCACTAATATGGACACTAATAAAAAGTTAATTAATTAAAAAGAAACAAATTTTTTTACCCGCTATTTTAAATGGTAAATTTTTATTGATTCCACCTATGATATAAATAATGTAAGGGTTGTAAGGGGCCATTCATTAATTATTTAACCCAATACTCTCATAAAAGAGCACTTAAGATTTCTCGAACTCCCCCCTCCCCTTTCTTATGTAACATTTTATTTTTCTTATTTTTGTTTTACGAAAGGATCAATTGCACTAAAACTTATAATTTGACCTAATTCAAAGATGTTTATTTTTTAAAAGACAATTTGGGTTATATAATTATTAAATTTACATGACAATTATATCTAGCATGTCCGTTGGCACATCACCTTAATCTAGCCACTCTGCATCTTCTTTACCAGTTGGAGAGTGAATCATACAGCACAGCACCTCTCTCTGTAGGATTTTTTTATTTGTTTTTATTTTTAAATTATTAAAGTATTATTAATATGTGAACATATTAAATAAAGATTTTGAAAACTAAAAAAAAAAATGTTTATAAAAATATGTATAAATGAAATTGTACATTAAAAAAGAAAATATAGGGGTTTTAACACCTCCCCTCTCCCCCCTCCCCTTCCGAAATTAAGGCTTATAGAGATTTTGAGAACCTCTACAAGATCCTTGCGTAATGAATGAATGGCCCCTAAGTACATAGGGCAAATTAAAAAAAAATGTTCACACTATAGTTTTAGATCAAAAGTAATTATGTTAGTAAAATTGATATTTTATTACAGTGATCCTATTTGGGCACTGTATTTGCTAAAAGTACCTTGCTGAAATTTGTATATAAAAATGAAAATTTTAATTTCAATTGAAGTGAATCAGATCTTAGAACAAAAATGCCATAATTAAAAACCTAGAAAAAGTGCACTTTAATCTATTGAAGAGTTCTTTGTAATTCTGGCTTGTTATATATAAAAGAAAACTGATGAACTAAAAATATTTTTATAGGGGTTAGTATTAACAACAATGTTTAACAACTATACTTCTCATTTTACACTTTACAATGTTGCTAAATCCTATCCTATAATCCAAATTATTCCATAAATATTTAACATTTGGTTTATGTATAATGTTAGATTCCATATCAATTAAACATGTCTTACATTAAAAAAAAAAATAACGTTCATGTTAGCCACCCCAAAATTTCTTTACTAATGAGTTAACTACTACTATGAGATTGGTTTTATTGTTACTTTAGATGAATGACAATAAAATATATGAAAATTCTTTATTAGATCAATGTGTTGTTTTCATGTTATGCTCAACCTACAAACCCCTTTTTCAATAGAACCAGGGGGAAAGAAATATAATAATATTAATATTTTTTGTAATTTAGTATATGATACTATATTGGGTTTTAGTTTGGCTTTAAATACATTAAATATTAATAAATAAATTATTTTTTTATTTTTTTAATATCCTGAGTATTTTCAGCAACTTCTTTACGTTTTTCAGATTTAACAAAAAATGAAGTTAAAGTCTTTTGTTTCTGTTTATTTTCAGTGATCCTTTTGTTACAACTTGTAGATTTGTTTTTGGAATTGTTGACCTCGATTGATACTCGATGCCAGGACAGTAATTTAACTGGCTTCAGATATGTCAGAGCCATGTCTCCATTTACATTCTCAGTGTCAAGCCATGCCTATAAAATATTTAATGTATATTATAGACTAACAATCACGTCATCTATACATAAAATAAAATAGTAACAAAGGAAAATCTGCAACATATTTTTTTAAAACAATTACTGTTAGGTACATGTTGTGTACAGAATATAAAAGTTAGATTTTGAACATTTTGAACAGATGAGAGTTACTGCTTTATGGAATAATTTAATGAAATATTTTTAATATTGTAATTAAAAATATACAGCATAGCAATATAAAAGAAATCAAGACGTGTCGAGCAACACTCCATAGAAACAAAGTTCTTTTCTCTGTCTGTCCTACACATTCCATAAATCAGTTATGATGGTCTGGTACTTTTGGTGATGACATTATGAGCGGCCCTTAGATATATCTGGTGACAATAATTGTCACAAGTACTAGGGGAACACAAACCTCAAGGAATGTCCATTATATGTGTACATAAGATGCATATGAACTACTTACTACATACATTCCTTACCACTTAAAATGTCACATGGAGTGCTGTTAGTAAGTAATAAAAAATATGATGATGGTTGATATATTTTACAGATTTGTCAATTTAGCTCTCAATCAATTTAATAATATAAAATAGTGACTTTGTTATCTACTTACATAATCAGTTTACCATTTTTAAGAAGTTAAATAAATTCTTACTTCAATTTGTTCCTGGTTGTTTAAAATAGCAGGCATCCTATGATGAAGCCAATCCATTGTATTGTTTGAATCCATAGTAATAATGGAATAAGAGTAAATTATTGTCCCCTCATTTTGCCATGCATGGTACAGCCCAGCCATATACAATAATTTTACACCTTTCCAACCTTCTATCTCGTCAAACTCATTGGTCCAGGTATTGGGATCATCAATCTGTATTTCATGTTTGTAAATAAAGAATTAGAAAGTCAACAAAAAAATCTTACTTAATATTATAACTGAAAATTTAGATGGATGTTTGGAGGTTTGTTACTTAATTACAACAGAATCGCTGAATGGATCTGCCACAAATGGCAATTTTCATCTATTCATTCAGACCATCAACCATCTTTGGATATAGTCCGGAATAACATAATAATAGGCTATTTTTATACTAGAAAAATGTATGATTCCCATGGGATATATTTGTTTGTTTTTGTATTATTTAAATGATATTAAAGTTATTTATTAATATAATATATTATGGCAAAATCATTTTGTTTTTAACAAAATGATTTTGCCATAATGATCTTACCTTTATGTTTTCATCCTGTGGTGCATATATAAAATATGGTTGCTTTATTATAGTTTTAATTGTTGTTTGCCATTCATAAAAGCCTTCTGCAATAATTATACATCTACCTCCATTTGCTAATATTGGACTGTATAATTTTGAGCTTTTAATATTTTCAATGCGACAATTATTTGTACTAAGCCCATGATGTCTATAGTCGCCCTAAAAATATGTCATTTTTATTACCTACAAGAAAAAAATAACATAATAGATACATGTATGTTTTTGTGAGGCTTACTTTATGCCATGGAGGTATGATGCCCCACATCATTGGTTTGAGTGCTCTTCTTGATCTATCTGCAGAATTTACTCGATAATTTGAAATTAATACAGGGGTAATATCAGTTGGAGCTATATTGTAAGAGGGTGTATATTCTTTTCCATCATTATGCTCAGGAAGCCAATCAGGCTTAATGTAAAGACCTCTGTTGTCTTTTGCTTTATAACTACAAGCACATTGGATCTGCTCCTTGTTGAGTGATCTGTAATAGATGATATTATTTTCGTTACCTACTTTGTGTTTTATATGATAAATACTTACATAGCAATCAACGAATTAGTAATTACTTACAACCCCGTGCGACCGCACATATTTATGTACGATAATTAATCAAAAGAATAAAAGTTTGCCTTCTTGTTTTAGTTATTACACAAAATCTTGTTTTCCAATTTTAACATTAGAATTGGGATTAGGGATTTCGTTTTCGACATTTCGCGCTTATTTTCATAATTCATACTTCATAGAGTTCGTAACCTTTCTTTTATTTTTGGACTAAGAAGTTTATTTGTCATCCATGGTCAATAGTCAACAGACCTAAATAGTAAATAATAAAATTTTTCTTATCTATACATATAATAAAATTGTAACTAAGCCGAATCTGTAAATTAAATATTTTTTGGAAAATCTTATTGAAATAAACATTATTATCGATGCAGAGGCCGAATCTAGTTTTTAGAATTTTTGTCTGTCTGTCTGTTACGCATCACAGAAAAACCACTGGAGGGATTTTGTGGAATTTTGGTATGGTGATAGCTGGTTATCATCAGTATCAGTTAGGACTTTTTACCGCGAGAAAATATCTCATTTCTGAGAAAAAATACAAAAACTGCATTGTAAGAGTATACTAATATGTAAAACCTAAGAATTTGGTTTTTGGTCATCTGAACGCGGGCGGACTAGAAAGCACTAGTTATTAGTTAATTATAGATCAGTATAAAAGACTTTTACATGCACGTCTATGTCTGGTTTTATTTTTTTAATAGACATATTATTATTTGTATTTTGTGTTAATGTAAACATTAATCATCTGTGGCCAATCAAAATCATAGAGTATATTGCTATTTGCTACATATAAAAAATCATAATTCATAATTTTGTGAAAAGTCGAATACTTGTTGGCTATTTTGCGTAAATTTATAATACCATATCAGCACGGAAGGTCAGATTTACATAAAAATATAAATAGCAATATAATTATAAATATTGCTATTACAAGATGGAAATTCTTTAATTATTGGTGGTGATAATATTAATTAAAATTAAAAATGTGGAAATATGTAACGCGTCGAATCAGGGATACATTTGAGAGGAGTGCTAATCATTTTGATAAACGCAGTTCTACTGTAATTAATCCTTCAAATGGTAGTTTAACTGAAGATAAGAACAAAGGTGTTAACTCTCCATGCTGTTGGTTTATTTCGAAAAAATGTTGGAATACTTTTCAAAGTGAAAATGACACTAATAGCAAGAGATGGAACTTTGAGCAATTAAACCGTACTTGGATTGGTGCCATAACATGGGTAAATTCTAGTCAACTTATTTATAGCTGTGTGTAATATATTATAAAAAATCTTTTACTAATTAGTACTATAAAAAATATATAGTTCTTAGTATGTATCTATTGTTTTCGACCTTGTATGTATTGTCAAACATTCTTGTTTGTAATAATAGATATAGTTAATTAATTTTAATTCTTTCATTTTCAAATTTACAGAGTAGTGCCCTTGTGTTTGGTTGGTATACAAGCCAGCTTATCCATTTGAATTTTAGAAAGCAACATAATGAAGATAAGATAAAATGCTTGCAGAGGAATAATGATTTATTTGAATATTTGCCATTTTTGACTTGTGTTAATAAAAATAATCTAAAACCTCTTAATTTAAAGAATCAGATAGAAAGTCCACTAATATCTATCACTCCAACTGTCCATTTGATATCAAATGACCAAACTGGAGGAAAAGACAGGCAAACAAGAAGCAGCACAAGTAGTTCTGAAAATTCAGATAGTGATTTGGGTGAAGTATTAAATTCAATTGAAAATAGGCTTGGCTTAGCTGCAATTGAAAACGGACAACACCAAGACGGACTCAACTTACTTAGGTAATCCTTTCATTGTCCTACTTGAGTCTTCTTAGTCTTAAAAGAATATTTCAAAGTTTTTTACACACAACTTTACTCTATGCCTTGCAATAAACTTATGTTACAAATTATTGATATTGAAGATAATGTGTAAAGAGGAAAGGAATAAAGGCATAAATATTTTTTACTAAATAATCTCAAATGAATTTAGAATTTTAGATTTTATTTAATCATTATTTCTGTATTAACAAATTTTTAAAGGCATTTTTTTCTATCGAATCTAAAATGTATAATATACATGCAATATAATAGGGTAGATGTATAATATAATAATTTTCTTATAGATCAGCAGCAAATCGCAACCATGCCCCTGCTCTATATAATTTGGGCTTGTGTTATGAACTGGGTTTAGGTGTGGCAGTCAATGAGAAAATGGTATTTATGTTATAATTATTAATAGGTTTTATCCTTGGCACTACTTTCCACACTTGCTATGTGTTAATGCAAAATATAAGATTTAACTCGATTCATAATATGATGTATGTGAACTGAAACAATGTGAAGAAGTAAAAACACACACATATGGTATAAATGGGCTGGTTTCTGCAACTTAATGATTTTGCACTTATTTTATGTGTGTAAACAACACAAATTTTCACATTAATACTACACTTAAATATGAAATATGCTTTATTCTTACTTTTATAAAATGTAAAATTTGGGTTATAAAGAAGGAAACGCAAAATTTAAAAAAATGTTAATAATAATTGTTCAAATGTAAGATTATCTTTCCTATATTGAAATAATATGGTTTTTGTAAAAGGGGTTAAGTCCAAAAAAATGTTAAAAGAAGTCTGCCCATCTGTTTCTTTGTGAACCCTCAACTCTTATATGCTGTACCAAAAGTACAAAAGTTTAAAAAAGACTTCTATTATTTGTATATCATAATATCTGGGCAGATCTGTAGACAACAGTTAGTGACATAAATATATAATAATACTGACAATATGCAACATTCCTTAAACCTGTGGGATAATACAACACAATAAAATTAGTTTGTGTGTCAAAATATGTAATTGGCTTTTGTTAATATCACTGCTTTTTTGAATACCTTGTTAGTTCAGTGGCAAGCTTATATCATGGTAATTAATAAAAAAAAACTATCAAGTACCTGCATCATTATGATGTCGTTGTGCTGTTCAAATTTTCATTATCCTATATGCATTTACTAATTAGGAGTTATTCTTTATTGATATGAAATAAACAGAATTTTCTTAAATAATATGTTACAGGCAATGGAACTTTATAAATCTGCTGCAGCACTGCAACATCCCGGTGCCCTATATAACCTGGGTATTTATTATGGACAAGGACGAGGTGGTCTGACTCAAGATCGTGTGACAGCAACGAGGTTGCTACGTTTGGCGGCCATTCAAGGACAAGAAGACGCTATTACAGCATTAAAAACTATTCAAGATGAAACGCCAGTATCAAATAATACTTGGACTGAACAGTATTTACTGCAAGAGAAGCATGGTGACATCATACCAACTCACTCTGCTCTTTTTGTAGAGAATGTTAATAATTTACACTCTTGTAACTATAAATATCAGCCTGTAGTATATTAAACACAACTCTACAGGGGATTATACTTGGTGTTGGTTACAAAATGCATTTAATGCAAATTTAGTGATGCTGTATTATATATATTGGTCCTGTTTAACATACAAGGCATATGAAGTAAATTAAGAAGCAATAAGAAACAACATCCTTCCATTTAAATAATGAAGGTGCAAAAAAGTTTATTTGTATAAGTTTGAACTTAACTATGATTATATTATGTATGTGCTAGCCACGGACAGTTGATGAATAATACTGATGAATAATAATACTTTACTGTTTTGTATATATATTAGCGACTCACCCTCGCTCTGCTCGAGTTCGTTCCTAGTGAAAATTTAGGTTTTTAATTTTATTTAATTTTTAAATTCCGAATCATAAAAAAAATTAAATTTTATTGTCCAAAAAAATTAAAAATATTTTTTTGGTGTGGACCACCTTTATCACTTAGGGGTATGAAAAATAGTTTACGTCCTATTCTCAGACCTATTATATATACACACAAAATTTCATACGAATAGGTCAAGCCGTTTCAGAGGAGTTTTGTTACACTGTGACATGAGAATTTTATATATTAGATATAAATATGTCTTGCATTGCCTTCTTACAAATACTGCATATTTTATTCCTTCAATTAAACCATTACTATTAGTAAATAGAGTGTAAACTGTAAAATAGCATAACAGAAAAATGTTATATAATATGCAAATAGATGTATTAACTGTTTTTTTTTAAATAACCTATATTTAGTTGTTTTTTTTTATATCAGCTTATTGAAATACACACATAATAAATGTTAGTTTTAATTTTTTTATATCTTTTCCAAATATAGAACAAAGGTTAAAATCTTCGATCAACAATCCTACTTGATAACGTGTCACATACAAAATCAAAGCTAAATTCTGTCCGCGCGAATATGCACTTATACAGCTTCATTTGTATACTAACGAACCAAGACAAAGTCTTATAGTTTTATTTTCAAGCTAATCAACACCATAGCACCTTGTAATAAAGTCACAAATCTTCAAATTATCATCATACAGTTAGGATCATTTCATAAGTTTTATAATCTTTATTGTAAAATCAACCTTATATTATAAAAACGCAGTTTTCCCGCTGTTGCTTTGTGAGCTAAATCGTTGTTTTGTTTCTGCTTGCTTCTTTGAATTTGAGCATGTATTGGCCGACCTGGGCCAACGTTCTTAGTGGATTTAAAATTGTTCAAAATTTTATTTTTATATTATTTCGTAGGTTAAATCTTAAAATATTGACTTAATCTTCGTGTACTTATCGAAAATAAGACATTCTGGCAGAAAAATTTCTTCTACGCGCATTATTATTGCAACTTTTAAATACTTTTACTTTTATATATTGCGGCCTTCTGTTCCTTCTGAACGTGTTTCCGTTGGCAGTGTTTGAATAGAACTAAACGAAATATACGCTCACTTTGCACGTGAGCTTATATTTACCGAGACGGATTACTTATGCCGACCCGATATCTAGTAGTATTGTTGATCGAAGGTTAAAATGGAACTTTTAAAGTCGAAGCTAGAAAAAACAGAAAATCTGTAATTAAAATACACAGAGTTGAAAAGGTGTAGTAATTTAAGCTATCAATAAGGATGTAGGTATTAAAATCAAACCTTTATACATACACAATTTGCTTAAATAATGCATTTTGCAAACAAATTGTTTCCTTTAAGTCAGCTTTTTTTTTAATTTCCTTGTAATTTACAAGAACAAAGATAGTATTATAAGTTCAAAAGTGATACTAGTGAGATGTGAAATTTAATTTCGCTAAGATTTAGTATGCTACAAATTGTTTATTTAGACTTGATCTTTCACTTCTATTATATTCTAAAAAATCTTATTAATAAATTTTGGACAAGAAAATGTTAGAGACATTGTATAGATCTGTATCAAGGATTCTTTTGAAAAAAATAAATGTAAGTACGAAATTTTGATGTTTTATTTGTAAACAAACGACAAATCCTAATTTATTACATTTCATCTCACTTGCTTTGATTTCATTTGATTATAGACCATCTTTATACATAATATTATATTGAATCATTCTGGTTGACACAAAATATATAGAGATTATTTGGACCTACTTTCTGTGCCGGCGGTCGCGGGTTCGAGTTCCGCTGGGGGCATTCATTTGTGTGGCGACGAAGGTTTGTACTCCAGTCATGGGTGTTTATATTTATAATATGTATGTATTTAAAGTTATATATGTCTAATGTATCAACTATCTGGTATCCATAACACAAGCCTCGTAGCTTACCATGGAACTAGATGGTGCTGTGTGTTAATGTCCCAATATATTTATATTATATTTATATTTTAAAGGTTTTTTTTTAAATTATTTTAATTTAAAATTTATAAACTATAATTGTTATATTCCAGTATTTTTAATTATATATTTTTATTATTTATTAAGAGGGATTTATTGTGACTTGGAATTTCCCAAATTAATATACAAATGAATAAACTTTACTACTTTATTATTTTAATATTATACAAAGAAACCCAAGTTATATTATCATACTCATTATCTTTTTTCTTACAATATATATATATATATATATATATATATATATATCCAGTAAATTAATATATTACAAACATTTTCATACAATTTTCCACCTTGTAAACAATGCCGTAAATAGAGCGATAGATGTCTGATTTAATACATAATATATGCAGTATGTATAAGCAACAAAAAAATATATCCTAAAAGTATAATCATAGACTTTCATCCCTAAAACTTTACAAAGTACTTCCACTTTAAGTAAAAATCACAATATTAATATTGTAAAAAATTACAGGAATGAAAAGAAAACTATTAATAAACTAAATTACTACTAATTTAATCAAATAAACACTGAAACTTGGCGAATTGTATAGAAGTTCTTTGTCACGATTCTGAAAAAAAAGAAGTAAAACAATAATATATTATTATTATTTTGAATATTCATTTTTATTATTGAATTATGTCTTGACTTTGGTACATTAATGGATATCCAATATTATTTCACCTTTTTTAAATCAACTCCATATACAAATATATATTAAACTAGCGGGTTCATCTCTAGGTTGCTTCCCCATACAATTTTTCATCCTTGTTTTCACCTTATGAGATGATTACCAGGATAAAAACTGCTATTTCCTTCCCAGGGTCTCAAACTATCTTCTTACCAAATTTCATCTAAATTGATTCAGTAGTTTTGGAGCCTATTCGGTACAAACAAACAAATCTTTTTGTATAAGTTGATAAGGTCTGAGGATCATTACAAATACATATTGTTTACAGTGTAAACAAAAAAAATGTATTTATTATAGTGATTTTTAGAATAAACTTTATATATGTATGGAACTATAATATGACATGACAAGTGGTGCGCTGATATTATGTTGTGGTAAAATGGCGTAAAATATATTATACGGTTAATAAAATAGATTTTATATATATAATAACAAGTTAATAAAATGGAAAAATACTGTGGACGAAATTCTTCGTAATTATGTTTTCCGAGATAAAAAGTATCGTATGTCCTTCCCAGAGACTGAAACTATCTTCTTACTAAATGTCTTCTAAATCAGTTCAGTAGATCCAGAGATTACCCCCTACAACTTCACAAACTTTTACCTCTTTATAATATTAGTATAGATGTATTATTACCATAAACATTCCACGTAAGCTCAGTACTTGCGTGGGTAGTCGCGCGTGGCGGGCGGGTAGCGGTCGGCGTAGGGCGCGGCGGGCGGCGGCGCGTAGGCGGGCGGGTAGCGTGCCTCGTACGCGCCGCCGTACCGCGCCTCGCCGCCCGTCCACGCCTCGCCGCCGCTCGTGCCGCTACCTATTACATCAAATACACATCTTAATATCATTCATGATTTCTGTAGGCATAAAGAAGAACATGACGTGAAAACAACAATAGATGACATCGATGCTGGACATTTAAAGCAATGAAACAGAGGCACAGGTAGTTTTTATATATATTTATATTTTTATATTTACGAATCTTCTTACAAAAAGTAAAGGAACAGGAAATTAATGAAATCTGAATATAGTTCTATATTTTCTATTATATTTTACCTTTGGAAGGTGCAGTTGCATCGGTGTATCGACTTGATGCATTCCAGCTCCTTGCTTCTGGTTTACCGGGGGGTGATGGGCGATAAGAGCGGCCTTCGCGGGTATCATATGATCGGCTGTAAGAAATAATTTTACAATTTTAAATGGATTAAGCTAAAAACTTAATACCAAAAAAACTTAATGAATAATAGTGATTTGTATAGCTAAAATTTCTTTTATTCATTCACATATTGTACGTGAGTGTAACTATGTAAGCGTAAAAAATATTACATACTTTGGTTCTTTTGGCCTAGTTCCTGGTGGTAATTGTTGTCGTGCATCTTCAGTAGTACTGCCATTGCTTGGGTATTTTATGTTGCTAGCTAAAATTCAAAGAAAATGTTTATTAGATTATGTGGAACTTTATCTTTAAAATATCTGTTACTTTTGGAAATGAGAAAATTGTTTTATCTATCTCTTTTTTCTTTTATTTAATATTGGCAAATACATTCACGACAAGTGTTTATGTGGTGACTCACCCAATCTAACCTCTCTAGTCATCCCTTTTATTTTAGCATATCAAGTGCTTACTGTACAATGACATATGTATAGAAATACACCAGATGTTGTAAAGCAAATACGGATAAATAATAGTATTTGATATAGATAATAGAATGTAAACAAACTCACAAGAAACATGTCGCGGATAGTCGCGCTTATAGTCGCGGTCGCGTTCACGTTTGTCCGCGCCGCGCTCGTACGCCGCCGTCATTTCGAAACGAGGCGGCGGTGGCGCTTCGAACTGACTGCGACTTGTTGCCTGGGAATCATAAATTATTCATATCTAGCTTGTCTAATACAAACACTATATTTTATATTCTTTTGAAATGATAAAGTTCTTCATACTACATGGATGCTAGTTGTTAGTATATGAATATTTAATTGTGTTTGCTATAAATACTTAATTTTTAATTATAAAACCGTTTCGAAGTTGTTGCTGGTTTTTCCACAAAAACTAGTTTCATTTTATAAAAAAAAACTGTAGACACTAATATTTAATTAGAAAGTTAAGGGTAAAATCAAAAATGGTAGGGTGTGGTACCATAGGCGGCGGCGGCGGGCGCTTGTGGCGCGAGTCGCGCTCGTAGGCGGGCTCGGGCGGCGGGCTGGCGGCCTTGCGGTACGCGCTGCTCTCGTAGCCGCGCTTGCGTCGCTCCTCTTCCAGCCTGTATTGTACAATTGCACACGTGTCAACAAAAAATATTTTATATCGTTGTTATATATTATATAATTTATTAAGATAAGTGATATTTGCAAATAAAAAATATAAACAGGTAATAGATTATACATACCTTAACTGGGCCCTCTTCAGTTCAAGTCTTTCCAATTCTAGCTTCTCGCGTTCCAATCTGTGTCTTTCGCGTTCTAATCTGAGCAGTTCATTCTTTTCTCGTTCAATTTTCTCTCTGTGATCAATTGAACATTTAATTGTTATATTTGGCTCATTAATAAGTATAATATGTTTAAAGTTATTCTTTATATGTATATATTTTTTTAATTTGAAAATATATTTTAATTCATTATTACATTTTATTACTTTTCTAGTTTTTACTGTACAAAATTATTAAATTAAAATATATATTATTATTATATTAATAAATTATAGTATTCATTTGTTACTTTCTACTTGCAGGCAGTCTACAAATTCATAAAGACGTTTGACGAAGGCGTATAGAAACGCGGGGGCATGCGTAAAACGCGAGTAAGGTGCTTCCCGTTACAATCAATAATCACCTACTGTATGGATTTTCATACTGTGCTTAAATAATATGTTGTGCTGTGCTATAAGAAATATGTTAAGACAAATAGGCCATAATATATAAAATAGCAGTATATGTCAATTGGCGGTAAATTAACCGAAAAGCGGGTAATTTTAGGCAATTTTTGATGGCGGGAGATTTTGACGGATATTTTCATTGAGCGGGATTAAAGCAGGTACTTTATTATAGCTGATTAATTTGATATTTTAAGTATTTTCTTATGTTTGGTTTAGTAATTTAATAAAAAATAAGCTGTTTAATTAAGAACTAATTACAATGACTTCTTTTTCGAACAATAGTATGTAATTTATTTCATTGTTTACTAGCGGCTCACCCACTCTTCGCTCGGGTTAGTCGCTAGGTTCCTTATATATATATATATATATATATATATATATATATATATATATATATATATATATATATATATATATATATATATATATATATATATATATATATATATATAATATATATATATATATTCGTTAATTTTTTTGACGTTTTAATATTTCCTATTCTGGACTAAGAGAAATCCAAAAAATAAAATATCATAAAAATTGGTCCAGCCATTCTTGAGTTATAAATGATGTTGCTAACACGACTTTGTTATATATATATATTTTCCCTTACCTTCTTTTTTCCTATAACCCTATTTTATATTTTTTTTCTTTATTAAAATTTTCTGTGTACCTTAAGGAAACATGAATAAATTACTTTAAAAAAAAATATTTTCAGGTATTCTGCTCATGGTTGGCGCCTGCGACCATATATAATAAACCGGGTATTTTAGAGTTTTTTGCGCGGGTAAATCTACGACTGTTATCTGGCAGCACTAAGTGTATGTGGCGCCCACCTCTCCGCGCGCAGCTTCTCCCGCTCGAGCGCGAGCCGGTGCTTCTCTTGGCGCTGGCGGCGCTCGCGCTCGCGCAGCGCGTCCTCGGCGGCGCGGCGGCGGCGCTCCTCCTCGCGCGCGGCGCGGGACCGCTCGCGGGCGCGCGCCACGTCACGCTCTTTCTGACAATTCAAATTTTATTTAGCATTCAATTATTACAATTTTTTACTGCACGTCATGAGTCTACTACCAGTTCGGAAAGAAGAAGCTTCAGACCTGAGAAGAACTGGCGAAATAAACTCAGCGGGACTAATATTATTTCATTATCTTTTTTTATAAAGTTAAATTATAAATTTCTACAAAAATTGAAGTAGCGTGCTAATCTATACATATAATAGAATTCGAACTGAGCCGAATCTGTACATAATTTGTTTTTTGGAAAATCTTATTAAAATAGACATTATTATCGATACAGAGGCTGAATCTATAATTTTTAGAATTTTTGTCTGTCTGTTACCACATCACAGAAAAACCACTGGAAAGATTTTGATGAAATTTGGTATGATGATAGCTGGTTATCCAGGTCAACATATAGGATACTTTTTACGGCGGGAAAATATCTCAACTCTGAGAAATCTATACTAAACGTTAAAACGTAAGTAGGGACGAACCCGAGCGGAGCGAGCGTGACTTGCTTGTCTTCTATAAAATATTAATTGCATAATAATAGCCTTTAGCACACAAACATTCTGTAATAATTCTTTTGAATTTGGCGATAGAAGCTTTTTGAACATTTTTGGATCCTGTTGTAAAAATATCAAATGTTACCTTCAATTACTTGCATATCAATACCAATATTATAAATGTGAAAGTATGTTTGTTTGTTTGTCTGTCTGTCTTTATTTCATGTCGAAACAGAGTAACGGATTGGCATGATCTACTGTGTGGAGATAGTTGCAACAGCTAGAGTGACATAGGCTACTTTTTAGTGCAGGGGATTGTCTCATTCTTACAGGAAAACACTTTATATTACAACCCACAACAACTCGTCATACTAATGTATATATATATAATATATAGTCTATCTATTCCATACTAACCGTTTAAACGTACCTAGGGACGAAACCTGAACGAAGCGAGGGTGAGCCACTAGTTTATTTTTTTTTACACTTTCTCCATTCTACGTGACATTGGCCAAGTAATAGTAAGTATAATTGAATTGTTTTTTTTTTTAATTAGAATACATTTAAAATGCGAAAATTTATAAAGAACTTACCCATATTTTGGAAAATGATAGCACTTCCCTTGGTGATCGTCTACGTTCGCGACTCCTCGAACTGCGTCGTACTTTTTCCTGAAGACAAATATGATTAAATATCTACTTCTTCTTCATCTTTTAGTATAATTAGGTTGTGTAAGTATGATTTTCGTTTTCGCAATTCATACTGACTAAACATGGCCTATACATAGTTGGGTAAATTATACATAACAGGACAACTAGGAATTAAAACAGGAAAAAAATTGACTGACTTACTATTGTTAATTTACAATATAAAATTATTGTATTATTATGAATATTAATATGACATGTTGGTTATTTGATATGGACAGTTTTCATCTAGTGTTATGGTATCAAAACTAACCTTATCAGATCTATGTGACTTTTCTCGCGTACGAGATGTTGACCTCGTACTTTCTGCGCCAGAAATCTCACCCTCTTTCTTCTGCTTTGTTTCTCCACTTTTTTCTGCTCCATCTTTAGCTTCCTACAAGTTTTATATATTTTTTTTATTAATTTTTCCATTTAAACCTTTCTCTTTTTAATAAGGAATGATAATTTGTAAATTATAATTAAGGATTATTTGCTTTTAAGATAAGTTTACAATGAGATAAGTGTTGTTTTTAGTAGCGATATTTTAAAGACAATAAGATAAGACCTTGTCTTATAGTAATGGTATACATACCGGATTATCTTTCAAGTCGTCCTTGCGGTCCTTGCTGGAGCGACGCTCGGGGCGCACGGAGGGTTGACGTCTTGAGGATGATTCCGACTCCGACTTTGCTTTCTCAACCGATATCATACGTCCATGTAGCTCTGTTTAAAATGTTACATACATATATCATTTTTTTTGTATGTATGTATATAAGAAAAACTAGGTTCTAATTTTTTAAACTAATTAACTTCTTATAAAAGAAGATTCTAATCTTGTGTATGTAAAAAGTTCCACAAAATTCATTGCTTATTTGCTTGTTTCTCTAATTTATGTTTAATTAATATTGAATTTTTTCTGCAAGAATCCAAAACTTGTTTTTAGTAGGTAAAAAAGTATAATTTACCTGTTCTGTGTAAGTTTTTAATACAATTTTCAGCATCTTGTGCACTAGCCATAGTAACATAACCATAGCAACGAGATCCTGGGGTTCGTGCATTTGTCACGACTTTTGCGCCAATTACCTAAAAATTTAAATATAATTACATGTTATATTTCGATCTTCTTTTCACAATAAGTAAATTTTTCTATTGCTTTTTATTTATAGTTATAAATATTTGTAAAGATATATTTTACTATAATACAATTATTATCCATAATTAAGCTTACCTTGCCATGCTTGCTACATAGCTGCTTTAAGTCTTTAGCCCTTGTGTCACCTGATAGGCCACTAACCCAAAGATTACGAGCACCACCCTCTTTGCTCTCGTCTTTCTTTTCCCTTTTATCATTATCCCCTTCTTTCTCTTTTTCATCTAAGATTTAGAAAACAAACATGATTAATATATGATTATAAATATATAATTAATTTAATAATAATCAGGATTTTTACCTTTTTCATCTTTCTCATTTTTCACAGTATCATTGCTGAAAAAAAGAGAAATGCTTTAATAATTTTCTATTTGAATAAAAACTTAATATAAATGTACAGTTCTTTAAAGTCTTTAAATTTGTTTCTAATTTCAATTATCATTATTAAAACACACACATCAACTACAAAGTTTTGCACCAGTACTCCACCAGGCAGAAGTGCTGTCATCTGTGGCATCTTCATCTGCACCAGCATCAGGATTCACTCGCTGCTCAATTGCTAGGTATTTGAAGGTGGGAATCTCCCAAGTAGTTGATCTCCAATTCATAAGGACAGCCGTGTGATAAGTCCGGATGTCGCTGTAGTTGAGGTGAACCTGGCCCAAATGATGTGACACTGCTGATGTTCTTCTTCCTTTATCCAAGATTGGTGCAAAACTTTGTAGTGATAACGATTAAAATAATTTGAACGTGGTAGTAGTATATAGCTGGGACGCGGCGTCGCGACGACCATTCGATGTTCACCAACCTAGTGGTTGTTGCTTCGGTGGTTACTTGTTGATTTTCTGACGATGCTGCGTCGGCTGTGGAGTCCTGCACTGGCTCGTCGCTCGAAGGCCCCGCAGGTTCGTCCCGCACGGCGTCATCTACGTCAGTGGTAATGGTCAGCTTGGACTATCAGCATAGGTCGCTCAATATGAGCGACCTACCCTGTATTTTTCTTTCTTCTTTGTCAAATAACAACTCTATCTTCATTATTTTTTGTTGATCAATATCATCTTGACCTGAAAACTTGATTTGACATTAACACCAGTGCCTGTGTAACACATGGAGCATAATGGCATTAATCCTTTGCCAGTTACGAGTATAATATTGCTGGTGAATACCTGTGGTATGAGAACTCGCACAAATGACTATGTTAGAAGAGTCACTGTAACAATTTATTTATTGGAGGTAGGTGAATTCAAAGAACAATGTTAGAATGTTGAAAATGTAATTCCGTTTGTAAAGATTTTTCTTCTTCTGGTTATTTCCTTGATATTTCTCAATTGATGCGGTAGCCAGGTTTGCTTCTAGAAGCCTTTATTATTTATTAGCTTTCTTCTCAAATATCCATCCCGGAAACAGATTCACTTCACAGTATATCTTATTATTATTTAATGTCATAATGGACATTTAAAATTTAATTACTACAATTAAGAACTTAAAGACAGTGAAGTTATTTTTAAATTTTCTTAACATAGAATATTTGAGTGATATATCAGTGTAATGGAATATTTTAGTTAAAAACTTACCTTTCTTAGTCTTAGCTGTGTTGTCAGTCTGAAATTTAAACATTTTGTGTTAAAAATTATGGTAAAAGAAAATGAAGTGATTCTGAATGTTAGACCACACAGACTATTAAAGAAAATAGAACAATATTGTACTGTACACTATTTTTATTTATTATTCCATTTAGTTTAATTAATCAACTTCCATTAGAAATCCATTAGAAAAATTCGTCTTATTTGAAGACAATGTAAAATTCACTTTGAAGACATAGAAACGTACCTCTTCATTTAAAAGTTCATCATCACCAATGTCTAAATTAATACTGTCCTCAGCATCAGTGTTATTTTCAGTTTTGTGATCTTCATCATTTTTAACATCTTTGTCTAAGCATTGTTTTTTTGCTTCAGTAGCTTCGGTTTCATCTTTACTCTCACGTTTCCTACTTAATTTTTCACTTTCGTCTGTTTCCATAGTTTCATCAGATTTTTTTGGAGATTCCTTGACTGATTTGGTGTTATTCTCCGTCAAAGCATTTTCCGATTCTTCTTCTTCTCCAGCAGTATCCTGGACGATCATATCTTCCATAGCGGGATTATCTTCCGACTCTGCTACCCCTACTGAACTTTCAGAACGCCTTGTTCTTTTGGACGGTGTTTTTACTTCAGTTGTACTCAACTCAAATGTAAATGTAGCTGGATCAAGTCCTTGCTCTTCTAAATGCTAAAATTATAAAACAAATTGAATCCATTTGTACTTTTAAATACATATTAATTATTTAAATTTAATTTAGTCTATACCTTTGATAAGCGTTGTATGAGCACATTGCGAACACCGCTTTTATCCAAGTTGCGCTTTTCGAGCTCAGCGCGTAGATCTATTACACGGAGGTCACATACGCGTTTTCGTTCCGACATTGCCTCACGTTATTTTAAGCACTATTCTAATATTATCCGCAAAAGTTTAATATTAATTTGCGTAATATCTAAGAATATAATATATAATAGTACAAGTCACAGATTCCAAATGCTAATATCACGAAATAGTGGTCAAAATGGCGACGGTTAGCACTATCTATAAGCATGGATGACATTTTTCATCCAGACAGACTATATATATAGAGACCATGGATGACAAAATAGAGACTCTAAGTATAAGACCACAGACTATGCTATGCCACTAATCAGAAATCTTCTATGATATTATATTGTATTATTTTCATTTTTAGCTGGCATCAATGATGTGTACATGCTAGTCAGATTCGGTCTGCTCCTGATATGATCCTCGCATTGAACTTCATAGACAAAACATTTATGGAAAGTAATATAAGCATATGGATAGGCACCATATAACGTCTTTGAAATAATATATAATTTGTGTTATCCGGTTTGGTAATAGGCTCAATGAATAAAAAAAAAACAGATCTACTGTAAGTCAAAATCGTACCTTCTATTTACACCTTTAAAAAACTTAAACGTGTTAAAATATACATAGTCTGTGGTGACAACTGACAATTATTTAAAAAAAAAGATAAGATATGATATTGTCAAATGTCAATTGTCATGTGATTACATTTCGACATTGATTTTTAAAATAAAATATTAGAAAAGATTAAAAAATTAGTGTAATCGCCGTATGTTCCTAATTGTTTTTGCTCTATGAAAGTACTTTTGTGAATCGTTTCAAACACGTTGTATATTAGATAAGTGCTATTGTTTTTGCTTTATTATGAACACATCTAAAGAAGGTAAATGACGATTTTTTGATGCATTTTTTCCGTAATATAACGTGATTTTTGTGAAAATAGCTAGTTATCCGATTAATATATTAAATTATAATAAAATTAATATCCACATGATAATGTGAAATAATATTATTACGCTTAATTATTATAATTATGCTTTATTACCCAAATCCCAATACCCAATTTAGATCCACCATACACAGAATTTTTTAAATCTTTAGCTATAGTTTGTAATTAGAGGAATTGGTTGATAAAACATTTGTCCGGGCTCCGAAGGTTTAGTTTTGATGTGAGTGTTAAGGAACCCTAAATAAGTATTTTTAAGGTGTTAGCTATTTTAGTATCAAAATAATATATTTTTGTTAAATTAATATATTTTTATATTAAAACACGTTAACGAAGAATACCAACAATTGTATCAAACAGATATTTATATAAAAGAAATCAGTGTTATGTAGATCTTTTAGTAAAACATACAACATGTAACCAAATTAAATAATTCTTAATCATTGATGAATACTATTTCAGCTTCTTCTATGGAGACAGTTTGTGATTTATTAGACAAACTGGTTTTAAGACAATTACATCTTATGGAAGATAAAATGTGTTGCGAATTAAATATTGAAAAAAGTATTAATAATGGGAGTATACACTTGGCTAAGGCGAGATACATTATGGGACAGAGCTCTGTTAGCAAAGAGAGACTTCCAACAGAGAGCAGTCCAGAATTCTCAGCTTTAACTGTTTGTGAGACTGTTGAAGAGGATAACATAAAACAATTAAAGATCATTGAAAATGATGATAAAAGTGTCGCAAATCCTATACATTGGTTTGGTGTATTGGTACCACAAAATTTACATAAAGCAAAAAATATATTCCAAAATGCAGTTAATTTTGTTGTTGAATGTGTCAATATCCAACTGCAATTAACAGAGACTATGAAAAATATTGAAAATTTGAATAAATATAAAAGTAGTCTAATAAAATCAACTTAAAAGGTGTTATATATAGTAAGAAAAATAATTTGTTATAGGTTATTTCATTTATTTGAACAGTGACAACTGCTATTTATATTTCAGTAACATTTAATGATAATACTGTACAAGCATGATTTCATGTTACAAAATTAAATAACACAATTGTTATCCAGGAATTAAAAAAATATTTGTAAAATTTGAATATAATCCTATAGTATCACTATGCATTCTTATAAAATATAATCTATATATATAAAAGAAAGTCGTGTTAGTTACTTCGCTTATAACTCAAGAACGGCTGAACCGATTTAGCTGAAAATTGGCAGGGAGGTAGTTTAGAGCCAGGAGAAGGACATAGGATACTTTTTATCCCGTTCGACCGCGTTCCAATTTTTATGATATTTTAATTTTTGGATTTCTCTTAGTCCGGAATAGGTAAGTATTAAAACATATAATTAAAATGTGAGAAAGAAAGATTTTTTCTTTTTATATCTATTTAAAACGTACCTAGCGACGAACCCGAGCGAAGCGAGGGTGAGCCGCTAGTATATAATAAATGCTACATAACTATGTTGTAATGTTTTATTGACTGGTCTTCTCATTACCAGGCAAATTTTTTTTACTTAAATGTGTAACAAATTAAACACTGCAGCTTTGTTATTATAAACACAAGTGTTTTTAGATCAAATGAAATATGTTCAATAAATATATGATAATCCTTTGAAGGTATTAAATTAAAATATGTATAGTCCATTCGCATTAAGAAAATAGTGAGTCATCAAGTGCAATGGCAGGTAAAGGTGTATTTCCCCCCCAACGTGCGTTCACCTTGTCGTGGTGGGGGGGCTCAGTAGTGCCCGGCAACCCAACCGGGCGCGAAGCCAAGAAACGCACAGGGAGGTGGCCCACTTCGGTGGGCGGTGGGAGGTGGCCCTCTTCGGAGGGCAGTGTACCATGCGGGTTGCTCCTGGTACTTCTCTGATAGCAGAGTGGACTGTGGAGCAACCCCGTGGTTGTTGTGGTCTGCTTCGGCAGACCTGCCGTCGGGGCGTCTGCGTAAGCAATCCTGCGACGCCCCAATAAGACGGGGGAAGGTTTTGTTGGGTTTTAGTGGGTAGTACTGGCTTTGCCGGTGAGTCCCACACTTCGTGCGTAAATGCATTTCCCAACGTTAAAAAAAAAAAAAAGGTAAAGGTGTATTTCGCAGTGTAGTTATAATTCAATTCAAATATATTTCAAAAGATTGAGTTTAATGGATACAAATCAACTTAATTATCTTATTAAATAAAACTATCTTTTCGGATTATTTCGCGGATTTATTTTGATTTTTGGTTCCCGACGTTTTGAATGCTTTACAGCATCCATGGTCACGGGAGAGACGAGCATTCGAAACGTCGGGAACCAAAAATCAAAATAAATCCGCGAAATAATCCGAAAAGATAGTTTTATTTAATAATGTGAAACATTCGCGTAAATCTAAGAAAATATTAATTATCTAACTTATATAATAATGACTTTGTTTCGATTTGAGGTAATTCTAATTAATCAACTTAATTATCTTAAATCAAAATAAAGTCATTAATAATGTATTTAAGTCTGCCTTCAAGTGGTCATTGTGAAACTTGACTTAATAATTTTAAGCAACGTAATTGGTCGGGGTGCGTGACTAGGCCGGTGGCCACCGTTGACTCGCCATTTTCTTAACGCGAATGAACTAATACCTAAAACTATATTTTGTTTACATTATTCTAAAACATAACAGTTAAAATATGTCTTAAAAGGTTTGCACACAAAAATAACATAATAATAAATTACTAATTTTATAACCAGTAAACTTCTTAAAGAAGTATAAAAATAATTGTAGAAATGCAAAGGTTACAATTTTACATCGTTCAAAAAACACTTTGTGCTCTGATTATAAAAATTAACATTAAATAGTGCATATAAATAATACTAACTTGTGCTACATTTAAATTAGCGCCATGACTAGACACATGAGCTTGATTCAAAACTACAATAAAAAAATTAAGTACATATTATAGGGTATGTAAATATAAGGAAAAACAATTTACTAACAGCTTCGATCAACAATAGTGTTGTTGATCGAAGACTAACAGGATATCTTGATGATAGACTCATTCAACATGTATTTTTCAAATATACCAAAGTACTTATTGGCAATAAAATATATTTTAAAAAAATTTTTGAACACATTCTTGTTTGTGAAGAAGAAATTGAAATTATAAATAATATTTATTTTACCATCAAATAGTTCATAGTGATATCATCGACATTATGGCACAAACTTTCTCTTAAATATTTTAAAAAACTTTACCAACTCATATACTAACATCACGGTAATGTATTATGTAATGCATATATTACCGTGCTAACATCATGATAGTCTGTCGGTCCAATTTAATAACTTTAAAAATTATTTAACAATAACAACATGAAATAAATAATTCAAGATATTTTAATTAAAATAATACTAATGGTTTTATTACAATAGTTGTATAAAAAAATTTTAAATAAAAAATAACTATTTTTTTTATATTTTTGGAAATTTAGGAATGTTGTGGTTTGTCAATGACTTTTACTACCAATCAGGTCTCTTCACAACTAACGTTTTGTGCTAATGACAATTTTTAGAACTACTTAGGCATTTTATCTATGAATTCTTATTGAATTACAAGAATTCTTAGACAATGTAACTATAACACAATAAAATAACCTATCGTCGTATTGCATCTAAGTACATTAACAATAATACCATAGGTAGGTATTTAAACATAATATTATGTTTTTGTATAATGGACGTAATACGATTTTTTAGTTTCATAATACGAGTACGAATGCGGTAAATGGAATGTTTTTACTTTTAGGTACAGTCAGGTACAGACATTCGTAAACAAAAACAATGTAGAAAAATCTTTATTTGTTGTTGCTTTTGTTTATAAGCATCTCATTAAAATGCATGTTATTATTAGGTTACAGTATTTACTAACATTTTAACATCTATAATTTGATTTATAGATCCTTGTGCGTGATATAATTTTTTTTTATTGTAAAATCGCTTTTTATGTTTGTGCATCATCCATTTATTATGTATAATCATTGTGATATATCCGTGATGTAGCTCAAGATTTATGTGCGTAAATATCTCATTTTTTGATGACATAAGTCATTGCTAATAGCCTCTATAATTAAAAGTTTGATATAATACTTTTACTTGCTGCAAATATCGCACTGAAATAGGTGTAAGGAACATATAGGATCACATAATTTATCTTACTATTATTAACAAATAAATATATTTAACTGCGGAGGCGCAATTTTCTTTTAATTTATAAATATTTAGTCTATGGCGTATCGTGGACGCTACGCACGTCGCGCGAGGCGCGCCAGTCGCCGCGCGTGCAGGCGGCGTCGCGCCACCACGCCTGCACATCAGTGTAGTGCGCGCTGCGCTGTCGTTGCGCATTGGCGTGCACCATCGCACACACGCGGCAGAAGAAATATGTGTTTATGAACTCACCTGTGCCCTGGAAGTATAATAGAATATGCAACTGAAAATACTTTTTCTTAGGTGCCTAACAGTAGCCTATGTGTTGCTCCAAATCGTAGTCTATCTTTATACAAACCTATCCCAAGGGACCCGTACATTTTTCCGGGATAAAAAGTAGCATATGTGTTATTCCAGACTATAATCTATCTCTGTGCCAAATTACATCCAGAGCCGTTCAGCCGTTCTGGCGTGAAAGAGTAACAAACATCCATACTCACAAACTTTGACATTATAATATTAGTATAGGAGTATTGATTTAATCCAAATCCGCCCAGTCGTTTCAGTATAAAGGACTAACAAACAGACACATTCGCGCACGTACACATACACAAACTTTCGCATTCATAATAGTAGTCTGATTATCTACAATCGCTATTCTATGTAAGAAAGAAATATTTATGGCGTTTTTCGCTAATTTCTCACCTTCCACTTAAAATATGAATTGTATAGGATATCATCTTCATCCAACCGACGTAAATAAGCAGCTAATTCCTCTGGACCAGCGAATTCTTCAACGTGAATGTAAGAATTATGTGGCGCCACCGCGGCATACTCTGCTGGCCGCGCGCCCATCACTATAGGTAGCACATCGTGCCTGTAAATAAACGAACATTTAAAAATATAATTATTATTTTGATGATTTCAAATTTTGGCAGAGGGAATGAAGTATTTAAATAATTAGTATATTGTGTTTTATTTTGATTCCATTTATAACGACTTTGAGTTATCTTCATCTTATCTATAACTACAACTACAGATTGTCTGTAGGTACGACTTATGAATCGGATTCAAGGGAAAGCTTGATTAATATTTCAGTGCACCTGAAATATCAATTCTAACATTTTTTTATTTAATTGCCATAAACTCGCTAGTTAAATGCTATCAATGTGACGTACCTAAATGTAGAACGGAATTTATTTATTGGCATAATAGTATTGAAAGTTTGAAAGTAGGTAAATCGTGGTAGTTGGCACGTCTGAAACATTTTACTAATCTCACTAATAATCAGGTGGTTTTAGTTTAATGCCATCCTTTATGTATGTTAAACGTAATTTTCGTCGGAATATTTTTGTTCGTATATGTGAAATAAACGAAGTATAGGTAGTTACAAATTACAATACACGCAATCTAATTGGACTGAAGCTAGTTTGGATTGCAGTGTATTTACAATATGTCTAATATATTATTTATTTTTTAAATTTTACGTATAAGTTGGGTTTCAGCCTCTTGGCTGTTTTTAGTCTATTGCTTTTATTGGCTTTACTCCAAAGTTAAAAGCAGCCAACTTCGGTCGCTTCGATTGTGCATTATAATCTTACATTTATACTAGCGGTCCACCCTCGCTCCAATCGTTCGTCCCTAGGTTGATTCCCCATACAAACAACTATCCCCATTTTCACCCCCTTAAGGGATGATTTCCGGATTAAAAAATATCTTATGTCCTTCCCAGGGTCTCATTTTATCTTCCAAATTTTATCTAAATTGGTCCAGTAGTTTTTAAGTTTTTTCTTTACAAACATACAAAAATAAAAATCTTTCCTCTATAATAAGTAAAGAAAGATGTATAGGTGCATTTAAAGCAGGTATAAAATCTATAAAGTATACCTAAGTAACGTAAATGCAAATAAACTAATACCTAGTCGATGCCGGTAAACGTACATTTAAATCGTTATCTAATATCTCGTCACGACTGCATTTTTGAGTTTAAACTCTTTGAGAATGTTTTTTACACAAATTGACACCACAAGTCTTTGTATGGGCAAGTCTTTGGAGGGCTTTAGGCTGGGCAGAGGACTGCATATTGCTATGTTTCTTCGTCAAATTGTTTAATCTTTTTAATTCGTTTTTCTCGCAGTGAGTTTTTTTTTATATTCAAGTCAGCCCGATTATAGGTGATAGACTCAATATAAGTTTATTAATTTAATTTAGAAAGCTTAAAACTATTTATAGTGTAATTACCAGTTACCACATGTTTTACCCTATTAGGTACTCTTGGTATTTAAAGTACACTACTACAAAAGATCGAAATATTGGCTTTAAAGTAGGTATTTTATTACCTTACACTTAACGTCTCTTTTAAGCTCTATCATCTATATGTACCTATAATTAAATTGTAACCAAGCCGAATCTGTACATTAAATATTTTTATATTATAATATTTTTGGAAAATCTTATTGAAATAACCATTATTATCGATACAGAGGCTGAATCTATAGTTTTTAGAATTTTTGTCTGTCTGTCTGTTACCGCATCACAGAACAACTACAGGAGGGATTTTGATCAAATTTGGTATGATGATAGCTGGTTATCCGGGTCAACATATAGGACACTTTTTACCGCGGGAGAATGTCTCATTTCTGAGAAAAAAAATACAAAAACTGCAATGTGTAACATGTATATACTAATATGTAAAACCTAAGAATTTGGCTTTTGGTCATCTACCTAAACGCGGGCGGAGCCGCGGGCAATGCTAGTGTACATATATGTTATGTATTATTCCGAATAGAAGACAAAGTAAAAAAAGTTATGTGAATATTATATATTTCTATGATTTTTATAGAAAGTTAGTTCATACTTTAACAAAGTACTTTTAAGTAATATTTGAACAACTAATAAATCAGGGTAACAAATTACTTATAACTGAAAAACATATATCACATTTAGATAAACCGTAGCAATATAAACAACGGTAATCTTAAACGGTCGTAACAGTTAAACATAAACGTTACGCGCTTGAAGAACATTGCTTATCGCAGTTACCTTGAAATAATAATAACCTCTTCGATTACATGGTTGTCGATTTTTATTCTTACACCGATTGTATATAAGAACTGCCTCGATGGTGTAGTGGCTAACATTTGCGGCTGCACTTGCGGAGGTTCTGGGTTCAAGTTTCGGGTCTGGTCAAGTTTAGTTATTGCGTCTTTTTGTTTAGTAAGCCTCAGTTACAGCCCGGAGTTGGAATGTTAGCGATGTTCCACCCCCGTGACTCGGAGAGCACGTGTCGCGTCGGTCCTGCGCCTTATAGAACATGGCGCCTGCTTGCCATCAACGATTATTGGATCTCACGCTAATTTTTTGTTTAACATTACCAAACTTACGGGACAAATAAATTCTTATTTTTTGTATCCATTTATACAAGGCAATCTGCTATACAACCGGATACATAAGATAACCATAATATACAATTTTTGTATCCAATTATACAATCTGGTAGCCCAGTCACTGCAGGTCGTGTCGAGTAGTTGAATCACCGGAGTATGAGAGTGACAGGAATAGAGTGCGCACGTTGTGTCTGCGCGTACACGCGCTGCACTATCATATCTCCTGCGCAGATGACTAATCTCAAAGAGATTGGCCGCCGTGGCCGAAATCGGTTCGAATCGGCCATTATTATAAGAAAAAGTGTTGGATTTGCAGGTTATTCATAAAACCTTCAAAGCGCCCATTTTATACCATAGGTTATTTGAAAAAGTTAATATTAGGTAAAATACTAATTCTATAATAACACTTACTGAAGACCGTTCACAAAAAACTTTTCTGTGACATAATCCCTGCAATTTGAATTTTCAAAGGCTAAATAGAACTTGTATTCCTTATCCAACATCTCTAAGCAATTTGGGTCTGCGCGTGGGCAGTGGTGGGATCCACAAGCGCCATAAATATCAACTGGGATGAATTTCGATAGCTGTCTAGCATACTGTAAGCGACGATTTCTAGCGTGACAATTCGACACAAACCATGCTACCTGAAAAATAATTTGTTATGTACAAAAAGGATTACTTTCATATAAAACTATTTTTTATCATTTTTCATGGTTTTCCATTGAGCATGTTTGTTGTAAAACATTCGAAAATCGGGAACTTAAAAATTAAAAATAAAACCGCGAAAAGATGTCATAAAATTAAATTTTCAATTTTATTTAAAATATCAAATAACGTCATAATGCGAGATTATAGGCTACTACGATGGACAAATGACAGGTTTTAATTCATAATTGTGTCTTGAAAATTACTTATATACTCTCAAGTACTCGGATTTTCCCACAATTTTTGTTTTATGAACCAGTAGTGGTGTTAAAAATGATTTCCTCATGAAAATTACAGAGTTAGTTTTAAACCTGCTTCATTGGCTTTAGAAGTGAGTGCCTTAATAATACAACTGCTTACATAAAAGGTGTAGCAAATCAATATGTTAATGTTAGCATTGTTCGAATATTTATTAAGTATTATACAACCGTGAATTTATGTAACAAACATTTTAGTACCTGAACATTTTTTTGTAACAATTTTATCGTAATTGGTTTTTTTATAAAAAAAGCTCGCGTCATACAAAATTTAATGTATAGCCAAAAATTAAGTTTTAAAGTTTATATACGAATAATTAATATACCTTTTTAGTTTTATTGGCAGCGTAATTTCTTTCCGGTTCTTTCTCCATGTTCAACTGATCATGGTATACCCATCTTTCGTAAGGTGCCACTATGTCCGAATCCCGACGATATGTCGCTGTCCAATTAAATACGTCTAAGGATGTAGGGCGAAGAGACGCCGTGTGGTACGGACATTCTAAGTAATATAGTATCCAAATCTGAAATAATATTTATAATACAGTAAATTGTACAATTTATCTGATCTAATGGAAAAGCTGAAATGTTTATTTGTATTAACAGTAAACACTTTACGTATCTGGAACTATTACTTTGAAATTAAAAAATAATTTTGCATTTAATAGTCTGTTTATTGAGGAATGCTATAGAATCTAAACTATCACGCAACGACCTCTTTGCAAGGGGAGTATAAAGTACTATGCGAACGAACCCGCGGGCAATGGCAGTTCATTGATAAAATTTGCTTCATTTTATTGTTAAACTGATAAAATATGTTTTACGTTTATTAGGTAAACTTATATGTTAATTTTATTTTCAAGGCGATATTCTTCTGTACTACTATTTAAACTGTTTATTTAATTTATAATGGTACTTAAGTATGCAGAAGTATGCTGCAGCTGGTATGTAAACGGAAAGTTTTGACGAGAGATCTTGTTTTACCTTTCAAAATATAAAGTTAGCTTCTAATATTTAATGATTCATTTACTTATAGGTGCATGTAAAAATAAGTATTATAGAAATACATGTCCATACTAATATTATAAATGTAAAAGTGTGTTTGTTTGTTTGTTTGTTTGTTTGTTTGTTTGTTTGTTTGTTTGTTTGTCCTTCTTTAACGTCGAAACGGAGTGCCGGATTGGCGTGATTTTTTGTGTAGAGATAGTTCGAGGGATGGAGAGTGATATAGGCTATTTTTTTTACCACGGGAGATTATCTCATTCTCACGGGAAAACACGTTATAATACAACCCAAAAAATATTTATGATCAGAATTACTTGAAACTTGGTAATAACGCTCTTCAACGCAATTAAATAAATAAGTGTTTTAGCATTTTTCGAAATTCATCCCATAAGGAAGTAAAATAGGGGATGAAAGTTTGTATGAAACCTATCTTTAGAGTTTTCTTTGTTGTTTTAGCGCAGCGAAGCCGCGATTTCTGCTAGTATTTAAATAAATTAAATATGCGTTATAATTAAATAAGAATTATAAAAAAATATTTACCTGATTTAGTGGCCTTTTCACATTGAATGGTGTGTGATGATCTTTATAGAGTATAGCATCGGCATTTCCAGCCTCCCTTGTGTCCGCTGTCAACGTGCACCGATCAACGGGGCATTTGTTTCGTATGAATTCCGTTCTACCTGCTGATACGCCCCATGTCCCGTACCCATTTGCCAGTAGGATTTTCTTAATAGGCACATCATTTTTGGGTAACGTATACATTAATTGCTCAACGATTCTGTGCAGAGAAATTAATCAAATTAATATTTCAATAGAGTTATGTAGAGGCACGGTAATGTATACAGTATAACATTACCATGGTAGAGGTTTTTTGATTTTTTAAATTTAAGTTAAGTTTGTCAAGTAAAGTACATTAAATGTATTCATATTTCAATTAAAACTGTTAATACTACTGTCTGCGTTGTAAAAAATTTGTTAAATTAAGTAAATAATTTATATAGAAACCTAGGGTTAATTTTAAAACTTTAATTTTAGGGTTAGCAAACTATTCAATATTTTTATACGTTAAAATACCGTTAGGTACAGCATCGTGAGGAAGCACTTAGTTTCTTCTTAGCAAGCGATGATGTTAAATAAATAGGGATGTCGCATCGTGCGATACGCCTCATAAAACGTAGCCATAAGTACTGTTACGAATTATACCTTTATACCTATAATATAATCTGTATTATGTCTGTCTATAATCTGTCATTAAAGTGTACCTAGTATTCATAGTAGGTATCTACCTATAATCTTATAATTTTGTAATGAATGTGTATTTAAATAACGAATGTTTTTCATTCTCCTTTCACTATGTATTGAAAGCTTAATTAAAGTATAGTACTTACCTATCGTCACCTGGAGCGTCCTCGGGGAAGAGTTTAGCGAGTGGGTCGTGGCGCCAAGGCCGCTGTTCACCTCCAGATAAAAACCATGGTCGTTTTGAAACCTCGTCACTTTCTTCATTAAAAAGTACCTCATTTTCTGTTATTGAATTCTGTAATCACGCTAATATTATAAATGCGGGCGTTTGTAAGTATAGGCGCTCATTAGTGAGTCATTAGATTGAATTTTTAACCGACGAAAAAAAGGAGGTTCTTAATTCGACACGTACCTACTTATATATTTTTTTAATGTTTGACCACGCATAACTTTTACTTTTTAACCGATTTCGATGATTCTTCTTTTGTTGGATAGGGTGTACCTCAAAGTTGGTCCCATTTAAATTTGAAAAATCTACCCCTAAAAGTAGAAAATAGGGGATAATTGATTTTTCAACTACTGAATTTTTAAAACACTTTCTTCTTATTTTGCTCATATGTACCTACTATGTCTACATTAAAAATGAAAAAATAAAAACTTAAAAAAATAAATAAAAACCGACTTCAAAAAAACTCACTAAAAAGTAAAAAATATTTGATTAGGTATCTATACATAGTAAATGAAAACTACTATTCAGCTATTTTTTACTTTTTAATAAAAAAAATTGAAGTCAGTTTTTATTTTATTTTTTTTTAAGTTTTTTATCATCAATCTCAAGATCCTTTTACACTTTAAAAAGCAGAAGGTAGGTATAGAATTAACTCTCACTTAAATTCTCAATCTACCAGTAAGTTCCGTAAAAAATACAGCCTTCCGTTATTTAATCGGTATAAGTTAATAGGCAGAAACTTTTTAGTCTTTTCTCTATTATTAACAACATTTAGATTTTAGGGTATGGAAGCTGAGCATTGAAATACGGATCACAGACTAGTTATTCTTAAATATTTATGTTTTTAATTTATTGAAAAGTTGAGAAAGAAGCTTAACATTAGGTATCTAAATGGCTTCACTTTCGAAATCAAAACTTAAATAGACTGCATCATAAAAATAAAATCTAAAAAATGTAACTGGTTGGTTTCGAACACAGGCGTACAAAGTTTAAACTTGCATCATATTAGGCATGCATCAAAAATGATACGGAAAGGAATTATAATTGCGTAAAACTGCGATTTTACTCAGTAAGTACAGATAATTGCACAAATTAAGACCACACGCAAATAAACTGCTTCATAAAATAATGATTGCAAAAAAACTGTTTTATTATCACTATCAGTGTATTCTTTATAGAGAATTGACTGTTCTTAGGCGCTAGGCGGTCAACAAAAAATAATTATCTTTAATAATTAATTCATCTTACTTGTAAGTGCATTTCTTCTTTCACAATGGGCAGCGGTGGTGGTTGTGACGGCATCCTCGTAGCGCTAAAGGGGGGCGGGCGCGGCAGCAGTAGAAGGGCCACTGCTGTCAGCAGCAGCGGCACTAACAGCGCCACACGCCGCAGCACCCGTGCCGCGCGCGCCCACATGTCTCAGCGAAATCTCGTCCGCGTTATATATATGCCCATCTTCCCACTATTTTTCTAGGGACATCTGAAATAATTGGTACATATAAGAATTAAAATGTTGGAATAAGAATAATAAAAAAAAGATTTGAACTTAAGTAGGAAAGTAACGAATTACACTCTCATTTAGGTTTAGGTTATCTGTGCTGGGAGTCTGTGAAAAAGTACACAGAACACAGAGGTCGCATATCTTATGTATCTACTTTCAAACCTCCTAAAGATATGTCACGTACAGGATTCTACCCCAAGATTCCGCCGTAGAGATATGTAAATGCTATTAGACAGCTACGCCAGGCGGTCGTTGTACTTATATTTTTATAATATAGGAAAATAAGTATTGCTTCGCAAGCTCTTCAATGAAAAGTAGCTTAGGTAATTCTAAGTATTATGATTAGCTCAAATCCGTTACATAAATACTTACACACTGCATACATTATACTTGTAGGTACCTACTTCTAATCTATGCAGATGTGCTGATGTCTCAGCATGCAAACCATTTAAAAGTACCTAAACCTAAAGAACGCGTACTTACCAAAGAAATTTCCATACAAATTTCCATTTGGTATTCAGCGGAAACTGTTTATTTTCAAGGGATAAGGGGCACGCTAAATATCGACTTACTGCTAAAGTTTTTTTTTATTTCAAGTAGTTTTTCTATAATAATTATTTTACTGAGTAAATAATCTTACGTAAATTACGTTAAAATTTATTATATTTTATTATAAAAAACGTGAAGTGGACTTTTTCTGAATAAATAAACTTTGTCAATGACTTGGACGACACGTTTCGCTCAGTTTGTAGTAACCCTACTTACTGTGCCAGCAGTCGCGGGTTCGAGTCCCGCTGGGGACATTCATTTGTGTGATGAGCACGAATGTTTGTACTCCAGTCATGGATGTTTATATTTATAATATGTATATATTTAAAGTTATATATGTGTAGTATCAACTATCTTTTTTTTGTTTAATTTTAATAACAAGCGCCTCACCCTCGCTTTGTTTGGGTTCGTCGCTAGGTTATTCTTTAAATTGACTTACTAACTTTTTTCTTATTTATGAACCGATTGAAATAAAACGAACACTAAACGTTAAGTGAAGCTTACCACAATACATTAGTCATTAATGAAAACAGCACCCAAATCAGTTAAGTCATGTCTGTATAGATTAGAGAGATAAGCGCGCACAAACGCACAGAAAAACAGACAAAAAATCTAAAAATCATTTTTTTGGGTTCTATTGCGTTTATAAAGATCCCCAATAATAGTTTTTCTCAAATATCTTTCAGACAGCGACCAGTTACATTTTTCTGATAATTAAAATCACCAGAACAGAATGAACATAAAAATAAGAAAATAATAATTACTTGGCGATTGTACAGCGGAAGCGAAGAAAAGTGACTGGACCCGCAAAAAATTTGTGGTCAGTGGCCACATAATATTTTCTCATATATAATAATCAGAATGGTTTATAGTATATTATATCTGGTAAACAAGTCTATTCTACCAGTGCAGTGTAGTGACTTGATGATTTGATCGTTTCCGTAGAATTTACCATAATATGACTTTCTTTACATATCAATAATTACGATTGAACAAACATTAAAATAGATTGATAAAAATACTATAAAGTTTAAAATAATAGTGACTAATTTCATAGTGACATTCACAGATTCAAATGTCACTAATAATTGATGACGGCACGGCATTTTGTACTTTCGCAAAATTGAAAATATATTTATATTAGGAGAACCCGCTTCGCTCGCGCTAAAACTACTAAAAAACTCGAAAATGGTAGGTTTCATACAAACTTTCATCCCCTATTTTACCCCTTATGGAATGAATTTCGAAAAATGCTTAAACACGCATTTATTTAATTGTATTGAAGAGCATTAATACCAAGTTTCAAGTAATTCTGATCACAAATATTTTTTTGGGTTGTATTATAACGTGTTTTCCCGAGGGAAAGAGATAATCTCCTGCTGTAAAAAGTAGCCTATGTCACTCTCCAGCCCAACTATCTCTACACCAAAAACCACGCCAATCCGTCACTCCGTTTCGACGTGAAAGAAGGACAAACAAACACACTTTCACATTTATAATATTAGTATTGATATTACTTACTACAAATCTATGTGTGTATGTATTCTACTAGTAATGTCATGATGTAGGAAATTTATATAATTCTTCTGTACGTGTGTTTGTTAAACTACTCCCCCTAAAGTAGTGGACCGATTTGGATGAAATTTTGTGTGTATATTTCAATGGGTTCCTAAAATCCTGGATGGTTTGAAAATACAAATGGATCCGGTAGGTGGCGCTGCAGTCGGTGTGTCACAAAATTTTCATAAAAGAATCCATTTTCCGAACAATAAATAACTTTAAATGTTCAGGTAATCTTCAGATTAGCCCAGCGGGTGATCCTGTGAATTTTATTAGCGATAGGAAGTTTGGAGGCGGACGAAGCCGCGCGTACTGCTAGTATTATATAATACTTTCTTAGATTTACGCGAATATTTGACATTTTAAATAAAACTATCTTTTGAACTCCCGTAAATACATAATAAATAAGTAAAAGTTATTTTCACATAACTACCGTTTTATTTGTAATAAGAATAATAATTTATTTATAAAAATGGTAAGAGATGGAATATCAATGTTATATCGAAATATTCGATACATACTTTATTTTTATTCGTAGTAATGAAACTTAAAATAATATGTAAATGACGTATTTATATTTTATAACATGTAGGTTATTATTCAATAGTTTTCATTACATCCATACTAATATTATAAATGTGAAAGTGTGTTTGTTTGTTTATCCTTCATAAGTATTTTAGAATTTTTCGAAATTCATCCTATAAGGGGGTAAAATAGGGGAAGAAAGTTTGTACGAAACTAACTTTTTAGAGATTTTTTGTAATATTGGCGCAAGCGAAGCCGCGGGACCTGCTAGTACAATATAAGTAGCAAAATGCGCATATATTAAAATGTCTATTAGATATTAGTGTTATTATAATATCATATAATCATGTCATGTTACGATGTTGTGCGGAATGTTTTAGATGCAGCCAACAACACGTCAGTCGTTAATATAAAGATAAAGCACGTAGTACATAATTTTGAAATTTTTGGGTTTACAGGTTAAAACAATGTTACAACATCAATATGAGCCTTGAGGTGTTGCATATTCATTATAAAAAATCCTCAAAAATCTGGGTTCACAAGCACAACTGGAAAAGACGCATAAAGAAGACACAAAATACTTTCACCCGATTTAAGTACCTACCTACATATTATAAATGATTTTTTTTTATGTAGTAGGTAGGTACCATACCTATACATACCTAAATGCAAAAAGAAATCTAATATAAAACAACTTTCTTGTAGAAAATTAATAGTACATTTTGTATATTAATTCATGTTTTATAGGCAGTTTTAGTAAAGATAATATAAATAAATGATAATCGTAATGATAACGTGCTTACTTCAAAAACCAAGTAAAGCAGCCTCAAATTCCAGCTCTCGCACCTCTCATATATTTTCATGTGTGAATCATTTTCAACATGATGACCACTTGTCTTACGGCGAAGGAAAACATCGTGAGGAAACCGGCACGTCTGAGAGAATGTGGTAAGTTTTTCAAAGACATATGAAGTCCACCGACCGGCACTTGGCCAGCGAACTGTTAGACTAGGCTTAGACGGAGTACTAAAATTGTACATAATAAAATAATATACATAATTAGAAAGCATGAATAATAATATTTTCATTAAAAATCATTAATTAATTAACAGGAAATATTTGACTACTTCAAATTAATATGGAATATCTATTGATTATACTTTTAAAGAAATATTAAAATATAATAATTTAACAGTCAATATCTTAAAATTAAACATATTTTTCGAGTTACTAATTTTGTAATTATATGCTTATAAGTTTAATTTAATAAAATTAAATTATAAATTATGGATACTTAACTGATTTTTAGGATGATTTTATAAAAATAATTAAAATTTCACTTCCGGCTGATTGATATAAAAAGCGTAAGGTAACCGTTGAAAGAGTTAGTTTTTGGACAGACGTGCATTACGCCAGAAAAGATAAGTAATCGTTGTTAAAATAATATTGAATTTATGCTGGTAAACTTATTGATCAAAATAGTGGTAAACTTATGTGTAAAAAGTAAAAAGATAAAGTTTTCCTGTGATTGGTTAAATAGTAGTGATATAAAGTGATCGTTAAAACTACATTTAATTGTGATCTTATATGGAAATACGAAAATTGAAGTGACATTGTAAAACTTATAAAGTAAAAAGTGATAATATAAAGCTTATTGCATTGGTTTACTGTGTTCTTATTTTCCTCGTCCTGAAATTATATGATTATTTATACACTGTTTTATCATATTGTATTGTGATGAACATTTGTACGTTCTTATTACTTTTCTACATCAAAAATGTTTAAAATATAAAAAAAATATGTAAAAGATAACTATATATTTATCATAAAGTTTCTGAACATTAAAAAGGCCGATAGATAGAGATAAAATTTCGTAGAGACTTCAGTGGGTCGTTATGAATAAAATAAAATGTTTTAATATATTAAGCAGTATTAGTATAAAAGCCATCATATATTAAAACTAGCGGCTCACCCTCGCTTCGCTCGGGTTCGCCTCTAGAAAAACACTAATAGAGATCTATTAGTTCCCACGGGAATCGTTCATTTTTCCGGGATGAAAAGTAACCTGTTGTTTGACTGGTAATATAAGGTATCAGAATGTTAAATTTTACTAAATAGTAGGAGTAGAGCCATAATATAGTTTAAGCTCTACGTTTTACGTTGTTTTAGGTAACTGTCGTATAACAATAACGAACAAGTTGCATACGTATGTAATGATTAAAATAACAATTTACTCGTGCATTTTGGTTTACACGAGTATGTTAATTCCGACACGAGAAAATGCCGCTACCTATTAGAGTCAATACTAAACAGTTCTTGAACTTGACAATATCTATTAGCTAGTG